GACCTTCTTCCATTGACGAAAATTTGAACCCTGTTTATAATCCTTATTCATGGAATTCTAATGCAAGTGTTATTTTCCTTGAGCAACCAATTGGAACTGGTTATTCATTTTCAAACACTGCGTCAACTATAAAATCTACAGATTTGGCTGCTGTCGACGTTTATAAGTTTTTAAAACTTTTTTTTGAAAAATATCCCAATTTTCAAAAAAATAACTTTCATTTAGCTGGTGAGTCCTATGCTGGTCATTATATTCCTAGAATTGCTTCAGAAATTTTAAAACACAATGACAAATCCTTTCAATTATCTTCCATTATAATTGGAAATGGTATCACTGATCCTTTAACCCAATTTGAATATTATCAACCAATGGTTTGTGGTGAAGGTGATATATCTGAATCAATTTTATCTTCTTCTCAATGCAAATCAATGAAAAAATATCATTCTCCAGTCTGTAAAAAATTAATCCAAGGTTGTTATAAAACCTCAAGCGCCTTAATTTGTGTTCCGGCTGCGGTTTATTGTGCCTCAAGATTAATTCAACCAATTCAGCAATCTGGCAAAAGTATTTATGATCTCAGAACAGCCTATGATTATTCTGCTCCTTTAGGCTATACTCATTTGTTAAAAATCGAGGAATATTTAAATCAAGAGTTTGTTAAAAATGCCTTGGGAATCAATGAAAAGGGTTATAGTTCAGATTATGTGACATGCAGTTCCACAGTTAGTAGTGCATTTGATCTATCTGGTGATCATTTAAAACCTTTCCAACAATATGTTGCAGAAGTTTTAAACAATGATATACCTGTTTTAATTTATGCTGGTGATAAGGACTTTATGTGCAATTGGCTAGGAAATGAGGCATGGACAAGCGAATTAAATTACAAAAATCATAAGAAATATAAAAAAGTCGATTTTAAAGATTACATCACTTTAGAAAATCAGCATGCAGGGTATATTAAAAACTATGACAAATTCACTTTTATTAGAATGTTTGATGCTGGTCATATGGTTCCTCATGACCAACCAAAAAACTCTTTAGATATGATAAATAGATGGTTAAATGGAGACTACTCCTATAGTAGCTAAATATTTTTATCTTTTCTCTTCTTTTTTTTTTATCTTTTCTCTTCTTATCTATTTTCTTCTTTTCCTATCTTTACTCTATTTCTGCTTTAATTATTTCGTCAAGAAATTCTATGTTCATAAAATTAACAATTTAAAGACACTTCAAGTAATTTTAAGTCATTTTAACCAATTCTAATATTGAGAACAAAAATCACTTGTCCACAATTGCGGTTTTAAAGTTTTATACATAAGGCTGCATTTAGGAACTGTTCTTCAAACTCAAAAATAAACGCAAAAACAATCTCTTTTTGTTGATGCAAAACTCATTAGCTTCTTTTCGTGATAACATTGGTGATTATAATATTTGATTCGATGCTTCATCAGTAACTTTGGGTAGCGAGGTATTCGTATAGTATGCTTGTGCCACTCTTTTTCCTTTTTTAAAATGAAAATAGTTTCCTTTATCAATTAATCAAATCTATGATCGTAATTGTATTGACTTATTGTTTGAATTTCGAGATTATCAGTATTAAATCATAAATCATAAATTATAAAAAACTTATTCATAAACTCATCTCTCATCTTTTTTTAACATTTAAATCAAAGAATCTTTTAAATTTGTGTATTTTAAAAATTCAATTTCGAAATATGAAACAATACAATTTTGATATTTTCCACAAGGTTATTGTAGGATAAACATGCGATTTCAGGTTCCAGAAGATTTTGGTTTTTGAATAACAAAACAAAACTGAGCATAATGAGATTTATAACATTTGGAATTAGTTTCATTTGAGGATTTTTAAAATTTGAAATAGTTATTCTAAAATCGATTTATCCAGAACCAGGTGTGGTGTTTTGCCTTCTGAATGAGCAGGCAATTGTAGACACCCCGAAAGAAGCGATAGGCCTTATCAGAGGGTTGTATATCGCCTTCCGTTTTGGCACGCGATGGCGTTTCGGCCCCCAGTTTGTGTTTTATCAGCATTTGCTCTGGCTCTCTCTTTGTTTAAGCACCACAGCACGATGAATCTTTTAGTCCTTCTTGCCTTTATCCAACTAGCAGCAGCTTTGCCATTGATTGAGAACCTCAGAGTCCTCTTTGGCAATGATCCCTTCAGCTACGACCCTGAGATTCTTGCCATTTGGAACGACTTGGAGTTACTAGAAAAGACCCAGCTAGACCATGCTATTTATTCCTTCATGAAAGAGAAACCGATCAAAAACAAAAAGAGCCCCACCATGACACACGTATGGGACTCTACTGTCACAATTACTAGTTTTGAAGATTACTCGTTAAGAGTCAAGAAAACAAATCCCAAAATACTCGGCATCGACAAAGTCGATCAGTACGCTGGTTATTTAGATATTATCTCTGAGGATAAACATTTTTTCTATTGGTTTTTCGAGAGCAGAAACGACCCTGAAAACGAACCTTTGATTTTATGGTTGAATGGTGGTCCTGGANGACCTTCTTCCATTGACGAAAATTTGAACCCTGTTTATAATCCTTATTCATGGAATTCTAATGCAAGTGTTATTTTCCTTGAGCAACCAATTGGAGTTGGCTATTCCTATTCAAATACTTCAAAACCTGTTGGAACTACAGACGCTGCAGCTTCTGATGTTTATGCATTTTTGGAGTTATTTTTCAAAGCATTCCCTAAATTCCGTAACAACAAATTTCATATTGCTGGTGAATCATATGGTGGCCATTATATTCCAAGGTTTGCTTCTGAGATAATTAACCATCCCGATAGATCCTTTGAGTTGACATCTATTATGGTTGGAAATGGTATCACTGACCCATTGTCTCAATTTGGTTACTATGAACCAATGGCTTGTGGTCGAGGTGGCCATCCTCCTGTTATTTCTGAGAGAGAATGTGAAGATATGAGAGACGCATATCCAAGATGTGCCAAACTAATTGAGGCCTGTTATAAAACTGATAGTGCATTTGTTTGTATTCCTGCAGGAATTTATTGTGAAAGAAAAATGTTTTCGGCTTTTGAAAAAACTGGATTGAATGTGTATGATATTCGAAAAAAATGCGATCCAGATACGGAATTATGTTATAAAGATTTGGATTATGTTGATGCTTATATGAATCTCGATTACGTCAAGCAATCACTAGGTGCTGAAGTTGATAACTATGTTGGTTGCAGTTCCAAAGTTGGCACTCAATTTGCTCTTACTGGAGATGGAATGAAACCATTTCATCAATATATTTCTGAGCTATTGGAAAAAGGATACCCAGTATTACTTTATGCTGGAGACAAAGACTACATTTGCAATTGGTTAGGCAATTACGGTTGGTCTGATGAATTAGAATATATTTATCATGATAAATTCACCTCTTCTCCAATGTTGCCATATGTAACCTTAGAAGACAAATTTACCGGTTACGTTAGAAATTATGGTGATTTTACATTTTTAAGAGTTTTTGATGCTGGACATATGGTTCCTTATGATCAACCAGTTAATGCATTAGATATGGTTAACCGATGGATTAATGGGGATTACTCTTTTGGATATTAAACGTTTGATTGATATAAAATAAGAAAAAAAATATTAATATTGTTTTCTATATTTTTTATTGCTTTTTTATTTGTAATTATAATGTATTCATCAGGAAACAAAACCACCAAAGAAAAAAAAAAAAGACGTAAGTATTAAATTAAATAAACTACTAAGTAAATAAAAACTCGATAAAAATAATGGAAAAATATGGTATTCGAAGTAATATCAACGATCCTCAGCCCATTCATTTTCTTTTCTAATTGCTTCTTCTTCTTCTGGAGAAAAATCATTGACAATGTTAAAAGTATTTCTTATTTCTACAACACCCTTTCCTTTTATCATTTCCGCTACAACCTTGCAACCAGCATCCAATAAAGGTTGGATATTAAGATAATTTGCAGCCAAAATGATTTCATATAGCATATCTTGATCAACTTCCAAAAACTTTTTGTCCCAATCGTCAATGGGAGTGCTTTTGTTTGGCTCGTCAAAATCATCGTCTGGAAACGTGGTGTTTCTGTGGTGTTTGCACCATTCTATGATTTTGGTCATTACTGAGGATCTGACATTGCCAACAGGAATCTCTATTTGTTCGCCCTCCAAATCTTGAGGGTCATCAGAATCTGCTGCCCCATTTAATTCTTCAATGATGTTTTTAATGACAATAGACTTGTTTATGATGTTTTTCTCGACAACAAAGCGTTGGTGATCTGAGGAGAGCAATACAACAGTGTCGTTTGGTGAAGGTGCCATCTTGGATAGTAAAAGAAGTTGTTGCTGGACCAGAGAACAGCTGCTTGTGAGGAACAGAACCCTTTGCTATCAGCGCTTAGCGCTCGAAGGCAAGCCTAGCGCTTCTTTTTGTTGCGGGACCGGTGCTTCTTTGCCGGCGGCTGGAGGACAACGGTTCCCTCCTTCACGTCCTCGGCCGCGTCGCGAAACTTGTCCTGGCTCTCCAAGTAGAACATCAAGTCCTTGACCTGCTCACCCAAGTCCTCGTTGCTTGTCTGGAGCTCCATCTTCTCGTCGGCAAGCTTCTTCTTGTCAGCTTCCAACTTTTGGATTCTTCGAAACAACCCTTCTCCCATCGACTTTTCCTCCTGGTATCTCTTGTTCAACTCGTTGTACTTTTCAAAGTTTTTGGTTAGCAACTTTGAATACTTGTCCATTTTGCTCTCTATTGCAGACAACGACTCCTCCTTGATCGTTTTTATGGAGGCCTCTAGTTTGCTTAGAGATTTCTCTAACTGCTCGTTTTCGTCTGATAGTTTTTGATTTTTATCGACAAATTGGCTGATTTTGTCTTCGAAATACTCTCGTTGACTTTCTAGCTGCGAGACCAAAATATGGGTATATTCAAGATTCATGTTTTCAACTTTAGAGTCATTGGATCCATTGGCATTTTTCTCAGAGTTTGCATTGAACGAACAGTCATTTCTCGAGGACAATTCTACCAATTTTCCATCAGCTTCATTAGTTAATAGTCTGTGAACATAATTATCGCCAGCATAATCCCAAACTCTTTGACTGTTTATGTCCATTGAAAAACAGTGTCCAGTCTCTTTGAAATGCTCAATAGCATGGCCTGAATCGTAACGCCCACATCCTATATTACCACATATTAAACAGATCCATAAATTTTGTTGAATTCCACAAAAGAAACATTTATCTTCAGTATGCTCATTAGTATTGAAATTGTTAATATTATTTGAGTTAAAATCAAATTTTCTATACTTCAATGAAGTGTATCTACAAATTGGGCAGGTGTCGTCTTTCCATTTGCTTAGACATTGGCAATGAAAAGTATGTTGGCATGGAATTGTTAATAAGCCTGAGATGCTGGAGTCCATCCTTTCTAAACATACAGGGCAAGTTGGCAATTCTATCAATTTGGGAGTTGGAGGCGGTAGAGGTTTTACTGTCAATTGAGACTGGGAATGAGATTGAGAATTCTTTGGGTTTGACATAAATGGATCATCTAATAGGTAAGGAATTGAATTGGACTGGTTTTCAACTCTATGATCATTATCTGTTCTAAATAAAATCGATTTAACAAATATAACATGGCAAGTCTCCGGTTCCATTGAATTGAATTTTCTGCCATTGTAATTATCTTGAAAAAGCAAAGCATTTTTCTTTGTTCTGAATTTCATCAATACCATAAATCGATTTGGGGTATGCGATTTAATAAATCGAAAATGTGATACATTTTCTCTTGCAGTTTCCCCAACAAATCCCAACAAATCAGTGGCAGTAAAATAGCTCGGTACAGCAACAATCGCAATTATTGTTCCATCGCCACTGATTTCATTCAATTCTTTACTTTTATTGTAAGCAAGTAAATTTTTTTGAAAAATTTCATTTTGTTCTTTCTCTTTGTCTTTCTCTTTTTCATTGTCGTCGCCATTGTCATTTTCGCTTCCTTTTAATGTTCTGTTTTTTCTTCTTGGTAATTTCAAAGAGGACTTTGTAGTCAAGTTCAAATGTTGCTGGGACGATGAAGTCAATGATAACGAGTTCATTTTGTCAGATAACGAGAATCGCTTATTAGACTCAGAGCCACTTTTAAAAATATCATCATCGCCAGTATCCTTATTAATGTTTTCGTTTTGTCGGTATAATCTTATGACACCATACCCTAGAGCCTTTGCTCTCAAGGGTTCGATATCAGCATCAGTGGCAAGATCCATGTCAAGTGGTAATATGGATAATTGAGTGAATCTGTAATCAACAAAAACGTCTGTAGCTAGTTTCTTGAAGGAGTCTCTCCCGGAACTTTTAGCAACAGGGGGTAGAGTCTGTCTCTTGGTGAAAGTGGTTTCAAAAGCTGGATTGTATGGGCAGAAGATGTCCCTGGAGTCGATTGCTTTCACACACCAGCTGTCAACGAGAGGTGAGCTGTGCGTGGAATCGATGTTCTGCTGGAAAAGATGACTCAAGTAACTGCTGCCAGTGTCAGTGGCCTGTGTTTTGCTGAGGTGGTCGTGCGAAAACACATCAATACAGATGACATATTCAGTATCGTAGCAAGCAGAGTCCATGGAGACAACGTTGGTAGCAAGAAAAGTCCCTCTTGGGCTGGCCAGCAAATATATCGCTGAGAGGAAGCAGAGCTAGGACTGGAGATGGAAGTAGCGGCAGATGTCCTTTCTCTGCTGCTGCTGCTACTTCTAGGTCATAAGCCAACTTGCCTCCAGAGCAGTGTCGTCAAAGGGCTCTGATCTCCAGAATTGCTTTTACTGACTTGTTGCTGGAAGTTAGTTTAGGGTTTAGGTTCTGAATTTCAGTTGTGTAGCAGCTGTGGTGAACAAGATCATACAAGACCCAGCAATATATATATATATGGAAGACTCTCCTTGGTAGTTCCTTTTTTTTCAAATTAATCAATAAAACACCAAGGCTATTGCTAATTAAATTACTCAACTATTGTCATCTACAATGAGTGCAGCTGCTGTCGATTCTTCCACTCCAACCGTCCAACACGATTTGATCAATGAAACTCTTCCTGATGTGTCTTCGATCTTGGTGACAAGATTAGACCATTGGATCCACGCTATCGAATTGTTGGTCAATTACTCTGAGGGCTACATTTACTTAGCTGAAAAAATCTCTGAGGGCTTTGAGAAGATCAAGAAGAACCTAACTCAACAACCCCAATTCCCTGTCCATACTGTCGAAGGATCAAATAATAGCAGCGATACCGATGTCTATAATTCGTCTGGTATTAATGCTAATCGCAATGCTAATGGCAATGGCGAGCTAGACAACATTTCTTCCACAGGCGATCATTTGAAAGGTATTTATGGGCTATTTGAATTATTAAAGCTCAAAAACAACGATAACATCATTCAAACTCACGGATTAGAACAATTGCTTCGATCAATAGTACCCGAATTGAAGAAAACAATTAATGACATTCAAATTGAAAAGAAAAAAATCATTCATGATAACCTCACCTATTTAAAGGATTACGACAAATACAAGAAAAAATCAACTCATGAGTCAAATAAATTAAATGAAATAATCTTGCAATTAAAGGATTCAAACCGATCATTAAACGATTTTGAAAATGACCCCTATTTATTGAAAAAACATTTATTAAAGACCTCCTCAAGCTTTATCTCAATTGAAAATTCTTTAATTGATTCATTCATCAAAACTATTCGTAATTTCAAAAATTTTGAATCAAATTTTATTGTCAACAATATCAAAACTAACTTGATCTCTTTAACTCAATACATTTTGAAGTTCTCTTCTTTATTCGATGCAAATTTGAAAAATATTATAAACGAATTTTCACTTTTAGACAATCAATTTGAATGGGATTATTTTATTTCTCCAAACAATGTCAATAATTTAAGTTTGATAACCAGTGGGAGTTTAGATTTGGATTCAAATAGCACTCCAAATACAAATACAAATACAAATACAAATTCAAATTCAAATGACGAATTGGCTAATAGCCGTTTAATTTCAAACAATTCAGAGGCTTTAAATTTGTTACTAAACGTCGATGCATTAGCTGAAAGCGAAGTAATAATCGATAGAAATATTAGAAAAACCATTGATAATACGGTTTTCCCCAATAAAGATAACCCGCTAACTATTCCAATAATTGAAAATGAACTAAATTATAAAAGAGTTTCAAATTTAAAATCAGATCACCTCAAATCAAGTTATTTTGTTGTCACTAGATCAAAATATTTAATTAATTTCAAGGACAAATATCATTTTGGAGACCCAGAATTCGTATTCTATTTACCAGATTGCACATTGAATGCATCTATTCAAGATTACAAACACCAAACAACCACAATCAGAGTTCCAAGTCAAGGATCATATAGCAGTGAAAACGATGGTTCACCAACCTATCTTGGAGATGAAAGTGCACCCGCTGAGATTACCAGATCTAAATCTAAATCAATAAAAAATACTTTTTCAAGAAAATTTTCTAAAAAGAAGAAGTACATTAAAGAAGTTGAATACAAATTTCAAATTAAAGGCGCAGACTGTAATAAAAGTTTTCTTACAAAATTCTCTAGTCATAAAAAATTGATTGAATTGAAATTTGCTTCAAAGGAAGACATGTTAATTTGGTATAATGTATTAAAAGAAGCCACTGGATTACTCCAAACAGAGGCCGAAAGAGAAGATGAGGAAGAAATAGAAGATACTCTTCAAATAAACCCTATTGTTGTTAATGATCCAAATGCACCACTTGAAAGAGTTGAAGAAAACCAACAGAAAGGTGCAATTTTAGAAACTGATGAAAGAGCAGAACCAGTACAAAACACTACACCACCACCAGTTCCAGAAAGAGTTTCAGAAACAGCTCCTGAACCAACTCCTGAACCAGTCACAAAACCAACTCCTCAGCCAGTTGTCCAGTCTACTAAACCCGCTTTTAACCCGGCACCTGAGCCAGTTACACAACCAATTCGTGAGCCAACTCTTGAACCAAAAGTTCAAGAATCTCCAATTCAGCCAGCTAATCAAATAGAAAGACCCCCTGGTCCTCCTCCAAACAAATCAGCCCAGTCAGTGAAAGCTTCAGCTCCAGGTGCATGGGTTCCTCCAGCTACCATAACTTCCTAGTACGGAATTTGGTTGAATTTTTTTTTTTCCTAATTTTTTCTTTGTTTTTATTCTTTTTGTTCCTTTAAGTGCAAGTTTTTTTTTGGTATGTTTACTCTATAGCTTTGTTTTAATTTCGTTTTAGTTTAATTTGAATCCGTGGACCCTTAATACCTATCCTTTGTGAAATTTTATTTATTTGAAGACAATTCTCTTAAACATGATCTGCTGAATTATATTGCAAGTGAATGAAGACCATCTCCACCATCTCCACCATTTCAGGTGTGGAATCCAGGCAGATCCGCGAAGACAATAGAAATGTAATTCGACTGTTTCTAGTCAAACTTCCGACCATCAGTTCACAAACAGCCGGTTGTCGGTTAATAACCGACTGACGGCTAAATGGCATTTCCGAGATCAGCGCGAAAAAAAATGCGAAAAACGAAAAAAAAAAACACGAAAAAAAGCTCGACTTAGATTAGGTCTGGGCTAAGCAGTTTTGTGGGTCGGTACCAAAGATGTGGAAAATCTGGAACTGCCTGATCGGGAGCAAATGAAGGGGCCTAATGAGCTCCATTACGGGCTATCATTTGGCTCTTCTTCCTTCTAGTACAACAATAAACATGAACTGAAGAACAGTAAATATTCCGCGAAGGAGAAGGAATTGCTACAGCTTAAAATACAAAAAAAACTTGCCTCTAACTAGTCTAACCTGAATGCCTGAATTAAAAAAAGTTATGTAGAAAAAAAGAAAGTCGTGAACAACAAAAAATATAGTAACCACAGCTATTAGCAATGAGTATAATAATAACAATAAGAGCAGTGGTGAAGAGTAAAAACGTTAACAAAGAAAGAAAGTATATTTATCTCATTATCCCATTCAATATAAAAACATTATGAATGTTATTATTCCCGACAATATTGGAGAAATGCCATATAAGATACTTATTTGCTTCATACCATTATCTTCACTTGTACTTGTTACATGATTGTATTGATTAAAACAACGATCAGTCTCTGTGCAAATATATGAGCTACTTTGTTCCTCAAAGTATTTGTCGTCTCCAGTTAAAAGATATTTAATCATATCAATATAAAGTTCGTCGTCAATTGTTGTGTTGAAACTAGTAGATGCATCCCACACCATGACACCACCAAAACTACTATTCTTTTTAGCCTGGTTGATTCTATTCTCTAACAATGTTGAATTATCAATAAACCCAGATACTGCTGATTCATTTGAGCCTGGCAACCCCAAATATATTTTGACGTTTTCATTTTTGGAGATATCCTTCGCATAGCTTGCCCATGTATTCCAATTAAATCGGTCCGTATTTGCGTCACAATTATATTCGTTATTGTAAAACTGAATAAATAGGAAATCAACATAGGAATTGTTCAAGATTTCAACGACATCATCAGCAGGATATGGACACTGGGGAGCAGCGGAGATGTAGTAATCCTTTGAACCATTTTCATCAATTATCTCTCTCAATTCTTCTATTAGTTCAACGTATCCAACATCATTACTGTTTTCGATATCAAAATCAAAACCGTCGACTACAGCAGAGCCGAATGGTCTTAATTGATCATCATCATAGTCTTCACCAAACATGTCCCATAATATGGAAGCAAAATTAACAGCTTCGGCAACACTTGAAAACCCATAATCAGCACTTTGACCACCCAAGGATAACAAGACCAATTTTTCATTCTTTTGACAAGTTTTAATATCAGTTTCTAATTGATTGATTGTTTCTTGATAAGTGTAGGAGAATTCACCAGCTGAGAAGACCAATCTTGGAATTGAGTTATTACCTGGGAACATGTTCATGAAAGCTAATAGAATAATATCGACAGAATCCGATTGACAGTAAAATGATAATCTTTCTTCTTCTGCAGTGAAATTTGTTTGGGTACCCATTGTATTTTGACCCCAATAAGCTGCTATATTTTTATTTGATTTCTTGCTGAATTTACCCAATGTGGTAGAAAATTGAAGTAGGAAAGTTATAAATAGTATGAATGGGATTTGCATTTTGTGTATTGTTATTAGTATGAATTAAATTAAAAATTATTAAAGTGAGTTGGATTAAAGTGGGTTGGATTAAATTGAATTGAATTTAATATAATATGGTATATTATAGTGTAAGCAAAAAAAAATAAAAAAATATGAAAGAATGATTTTGTATTAAGTGCAATTTAGAAGAAAAAAGCTAAAATATTTATTTGATTATTTGATAAATAGATAGCTAGAAAACAAAATGAATCATTTAAAAGAAAAATAAAAAATGAAAAATGAAAAAAAAAATTTCAAGATAAAAGAAGAAAAGAAGTTTATATATATTATATAATATATATATGTTTGTAGGAATATTTAAAGGTGTGAGAATTTTTATTTGTATATGTATATTGGACAAAAGAAAAAAAAATAATTGTTTTATTTTTTTTTATTAATTTTAGGTATTGAGCAAAATAAATTTTAAATTTAAAATTATAGTTATAATTGTAATTGTAATTGTAATAGAAAATAAAATTGAAAATAAAATGAAAACCAAATGAAAATAAACTTTTTCTTTTCTTTTCAATTACTTTAAAGAGAAACTGAATTTTACGAAAGAATATATTAAAAATAGCACAACCAAATCGAAAGATTGAATCAAAAATGGATGATAAAGTGAATCACCAATTATAACATAATATACAACGTATACTATGATACTATGTAGTATACACACAGCTATGAATCAGTATGAGTGATTATGAGCTATAATCATGGGGAGGTAAGCGATTTACTGAAAAATGAATCAACTGAACTGAAAATCCAGTGCCAGTTCCAGTTGTTGAAGTATTAGAGTAATATGTAAGAGAGCAATAAGTAGATATAACTGAGCCAGTAAATATGAGACTCAGGAAGATGCAGAATAATCTGGTGCCTATATTTTTAATTTTTCTAATTTATATGTATAATTTCATGTTTTTTTGTTTCAATTGTTTTTCAGTTTTTCCAATTTTTCCAATTTCGGGAATTTTGGGAATTTCTTTTTCAAAACAAAATAAAAGAAATTAAAAAAATATAAAAACAAATAAAGTAAAAAAACAAATAAAGCAGAAAAACAAATTGGGCATTTTCTATTTTGTGAAAGCTGTAAATTTCATTAAATTTTTGTAGGATGAAAAATATCAAAGCAAGCACAGATTCTATGATCCCCTATCGAGTTGAGGTATTGGAGAAACAGCTAGAGCACAACCAAGTTATAAATGGCAAACATCAGCTACGTCTTGGTTTTGTTCACAGTTGAGAAAATGTACAAACATGAAAATATGAAGACATAAATCTGGAAACATAAATCTGGAAACATAAATCTGGATAGTTAACTGGCTATCTAAGGGTGTATGACAGAATTCAAGACTCGAGATACAATATCGTAGTTCTGAATATGGAGATGGAGGTTGTTTGATCTGGTGGGTTCCAGGGTAAATTGCTAAGAAAAGATTGTTGGTAATATAATATTACATAGCTAAAAGGATACAGAAACCGGGTGATATGATAAGGTTTGTCATGGCTCTCTATAAGGTTTTGTTCCTCCAATCAAGAGATACTGTGAAAACTTCTAAAATAAAGACGAGAAAAGAGCATCAGCCCTTAAAAGACCAAGAAATGGAAAATCCTTGGAAAGAGGCAGTGGAAGCAGATTACAAAGCGAAAGAGATGTTTAAATAGAAATTGTTTGGAGATATAATGAAAGCAACAAGAGACAGAACAAGCAGTTAGAAGAATTACCTAAGGTTATGCATGTACAAGCTCGAGGACATATAAAAAGCAGGTAAAAATAGCAGGACATACTCAGGGCACTTTAGGACCTTTCAAAGCTCCAGACCTTTTTGGCCCGCCGGAAAAGATCTCGGTCCCGCTCGCTGCCCGCCACAGAAATACCGCAGCTTCTCCAGTTTTGTCGGCACTTTGAACATCGACAAAGCCAGACAGTCGTCCAAAGCCCTCCTCCAAGCCTAGCACTAAGCTCACTTTGTGAGCTCACTCGGTCCTGGTTCTGGATTTGCAGGAAAATGAAACACTCAAGAGTAGTCTGCATAAGGAAGCCACAACGCCTGCCAAAAGTTTCACATTTACCACGTGACCCTTGTGTTGTTAGAGCCCTAACAGGTACTTCTCCCACACCCGCCACACCGGGATCCCCGCGGTGTTTGCAACCGCGTTCAAACACAAGAATGTGTCAGCTGACGCAGCTCTGCGGCCCGCAGCCCTGGGTTCAACCGTTATGATCTGGGCGCGACAGATAAGGTTATTTCTGTTGCAGGCTAATGATTGCTGCTGTTTCTGCTGCCTTTGTGGTTGCACTCTTTTTGCAATTTTCGGTCATAAATGCATATATTGAAATGTGAAACTATTTTTTTGAAATTACATTGTCGACGCAAAATGCTTGAAGAATGGAATAGTAGAAATGGTTATTGTTCTATGTGATACATGTGTTGTTGCTTCATTTGGCGAAGTGCAATTTGATATTCAACCATTGTCTGGCAAGCACTTGTTCCTTGTCCAAAGACTCGTTTCCATATGTCAATGGCTTGAAAAACATAAATGTAGCAATCACAGATGTGACCAATATCGCAAAGCTGACAACGAATAGATACTTGTTGATCTTGTAAACCGTTTTCTGGTTTTTGTCACTATTCTTGACTCTTTTATTGTTCTTAAATTCCTTCAATTCTTTATCATCCAATAAGCCCTCGCCTCTATTGTCGGTGAATATAAATTCAAACAATGCTCCAGTAAACTCAGAAGCAATTAAATGCGCTGGTAAGTAATGATGCAAGAATTTTTGTCTGCCCATTAAGAAAAATGGGAAATAATGGCTACACCATCCAATAAAGAAAAACCCTATGTTGTAATACAATCTTGATCTGGAATCCTCGCTTAATGCAAACACTTCTCTTCTTCTGGTAATTTGGTCAGCCAATACTATCCCAATAAACACAGATAAGAAGCATGCTTCAATTGCCCATGCTAATATGTTTCCAATGAAATAAATTTGTTCTCTTGTGGAATTTTTTGACCAAAATGATACCCCCGAAAGTGATAATAACCAACTCTCAGGTTGCGAAGCAAATGGATGCTGAGATGTTAATTTATTGTTTTGAACAAACATTTGCTTTTGTAATTCAAACCATTTGGATAAAAAGGGCATCCTCTTAATTTTTTTAGGAACATAAACGGATCTCGAATCGTTTAACCCAAAGATTTCGTCAAATACCCAAGCATTGGAATGTTCTTTTAATTTTTTATTTCCATTCACCTCTTGTTGGTTAAATCCCCAATCTGGTAATAACTTGTCATCATGTGTCCACATAGCAACAACTGTTGGAACATGAAGTATATTAATTAATGATGCCTTTGTCTTTACAATTCCTGTTTTCTTTTTCTCTGCCCCACCAATTCTAAATAATGTATCATTATATCTTTTGCCAAGTGCAAGATCTTCCTTTACTGTTGTGAATTCTTCATTTGTTGGAAACAATGGAGATGCGACATCGTGTGTCAATAAATATGAATCAGTGTTTAGATGATACAATCTAATTACATCTGAGATTCGAACTGGATGTCCAACTCTCTTATTTTCGGGAAAATCTTCTTTTGGTAAAATTTGCCATAAATTGTTAGAATCGTCACTTGCGTTGGCACTTTTAACACATGTAACTTGTTGACCCTTTGAAGAAACTCTACCATCTTCATATCTCAAGGGATACTCATATGGATGCGAGTGTAAAAATCCTTCTGTATCTTTATGTTTAATGGTAATAACATCATAAAAGTTCACTTGTTTAGCATCTCTAGCTAATGGTGAATCGCCCAATGTTTCTTGGAAATCCGATGACATGAACGAATCACCAGGCCCTGATTTGGTTAAGATGGCAAAATGACACCAGAACCAAAACAAATAAATGAAAAATGGAATCACAATTAAAAAGAGAAACCTTGTCAAAAAATGCTTGGCAAACTTTTCAATACTTAAACCCTTTTTAATGTCCAACAAATCCCATAAATCAATTAATACAGCCGACCCAATCGTCATAAATGTGAAAACACCAACATACTTTGTGGAAATAACACAGGAAAGTGAAACACCTGTCAATGCTAGCCATTTATACCAATCAAAAGAAAACGGTTTAGATCTTTGCTTACTAAATTTGACATAACAATAAATTGATAAGGCCACAGAAAAAATCAAAGTAGAATCTAATAAAATCAATCTGGTTTCAGCTACGTGAGCATTATCGAATAAAACTAAACAACTGGCTAATAAACACGATGGAATTGAGTAATTGGACTCCTTCATTGTTAAAAAAATCACTGGAATAGTCAATGATCCAAGCAATGCAGAAAAAGATCTGTAAGCAATATAGGGAACATTGTTCTCAATGTAGCTGTCGCCAATACTAGTAAATTTAAATTTTCCAGAGTACCCAATTAAATAACCAACACCAGCAATTAGCAATTTTGCAAATGGAGGATGCAAATCAAAAAAATAAGTTCTTTCCAAATAATATGAAGCAAATTTTCCAAAATGAACCTCGTCAAACACGACTTCGTCAGGATATGATATAGAGTAAAATCTTGATATAAAAGCTAGAGCGGTAACAAAATACAAGGCAAGTTGATATTTGTATTCCGGCGAGGGCAATTTAGCAAACTTGTAATTGTTGTTGAATGTGAACTCGAATTCTTTTTCTAATTTGGAGGAAGAAACATCTGGATCTTCGTTTTTTGACTTTTGTCTTTTGGAGCTCTTTTTCAATGGAGATTGTTGAGCAAGAGAGGGAGAATTCTTAGCTGAACGCTTTCGAACAGCATTCTGTGCAGGAGAAACCATTATTGGCAACCAGAATATCGATTAGTTTTAGTTGGAGAGGCACAAAAGTTACGAAAAGTGCCAGAGAATGACAGTGAAAGAAGAAAAGCACTGAGCGATCTGGAGATGCTGTGGACTGAAGTTGGTGATTTGGCAAATAAATCTTAAAATAGCAGTGCAGCAGACCACAAGTTTCAGCCGGTGGTTTCCAGCTGAAGAAACATAAGCACAGAGGAAACCTCAACCAAGCACCATGAAATGGTCGTTGGGTCGCGAGGAGTACGACTACGATGCTGCTAGAGATTCCAGGTGGAAGTTCAGCTCGATATTCCATCCCAACAGCACCTTAGACAACACTGATTTCGATTTTTCCTCAACCGATTCGCTCGAGTTGGGCCAGAATGGGTTGGGCAGCCAGGACAGGAGCAGTATTAAAGATCTAGAGATCGAAGTTTTACTGCGCAAGAAAAGACTAGAGATTCTTGGAAACAGACCTTTGACAAATGGTTCCAGCTGGCCAGGCGATAGTGGCACCACAGACCATAGACTCGATAAGAACAGTGGAAAACGCTTGGACCACAAGATACTCTATGAGGACACCACAGAGGATGCAAAAGAATTTGCCGAAAATAATGGGAATGGTGTCGACTTGAATTTGACTCAATTGCTAGACCAGATTGAGGACGACAAAAACAAACTTGCTGATCAGATAGATAAAATAGAAGATATCACGAATCAAGAAAAGAAAGACAAAGATCCTGGCAACAACAGTGGGGATTCGATCAACAGTGTTGGTGATGATTTAAATGCTTCCTTGAAAGATGTGCAAATAAACGATCAGGATGATACAAAGATTACTTTGCCATTTTCATACCCTGGCAAATTTCCTTCTTCTAATACTAAAAATAACACTGAAAGTGATAAAGATATAGATCAAAAGATTACTTATTTGAAAAATCATCATATTGATAAAATTATTTTAAATAGGGACACAGGAAATAAATTCGACTCAATTTTCAGTCAAGAAAATGACGATAACGCTGAGTTTAATCATAATAACAATAAGCTAAAGCTACTGAATTATAACTATAAATATGATAATAATATTGTTGAATCGGGTACAATTGAATCGTCTATTTCTTTTAACACCAAGACTAATTTGACTCATGCAGAGATTAATAAAGAGATTAATAAAAATTTAACTTTTCTTAATTCACCTGGTAGTATCCAAGATAATAATACTAATACTAGCAAATTAAAATTCGGAAACAAAATATTTACGACAAGAGATCAAAATGATATCAATAATTTAGATTTTGAGTTGAGCAATGTTTTAATATCTCAAAAAAATGAGATCATTCTGTTAAAATCAATATTGAATGATTTTAAAGAAAATCTATTGATTTCTGAAAAGAATTCACCAAACTCATTAGAAGAGCGTGTAAAAATTGAAAATAATTATAAAAATGATAATGAAAATGATAATGATAATGAAAATAATAATGAAAATAATAATGAAAATAATAATGATAATCAGAAATTTGAGATCAAATATTTAAATTTAAAAGACAAGTATACCAAGTTGCAAAAAGAATTAGCCGAGGAAATTGAAGAGAATACAAAAATTTATAAAGCATATTATAAGTTGACTTTGAAATACAGACAACTTCGATCCGAATTGGAAACACTTAAGAATAAATGAGTAAATAATAAAAAAAAAATCTATTCCTTGATATATATCTATATGTACGATGATCAGATGAGAAAAGCAACAATGATCAAACAAATATATATAAAAAAAGGCTATAAGGGAGGAAAAGTCATAAAAGCATTCCATTTCATCAAACTAATTAATTGAATGGATGTGTTCATTATTGATTTGTTAATCTTAATCCGTTTTTTTTATTATTCGAGCTCAACTTTTGCAAAGTTTGGTAAAACAAATGAGGCTTCATGGATCTCTTTAGAATAGTACCTGAATAATTTTTTTTCATCATCTTTTGAGAAAGATCTTAAAGGTTTTGATAAATCGATTGATTTGTTTTTGGTGCAAACCATAAAACCAATTTGACCAGATGGATAAGTTGGAATAGTGGTGTAAGCATATCTGACGTTTGGAAAAACTTGGCTGCAAGCGTCTTTTAAATCCTTAATAATTTTCATATGTAACCAGATAGATTCAGCTTGGGTTGTGATGACACCATTTTCGGTTAATGATTGATTTAATAATTGGAAATAAGGTTTTTGGAAAAGAGATTCAGCAGGACCCTCCGGATCAGAAGAATCGGTGATGATGATGTCAAAATGATTTTTATAACTTTCTAAAAATTTAAAACCATCACCAATATGAACGTTAACCTTTGGATGGTCAAAGGATTTTGCCATGTTAGGCAAGTATTTTTTGGCAGCATTAATAACACTTTGATCGATGTCACACAAAATAGCAGACTCAACACCTGGATGCTTGATGATTTCTCTTAGAACACCACCATCACCACCACCGATGACAAGAACCTTTTTGGGGTTTGGATGGGAGAATAAAGCCAAATGAGCGATCATTTCTTGGTAGGCAAATTCATCTCTTTCAGTGACTTGAATAACATTGTCGAGGACTAAAACGTTGCCATAATCGGTCGATTTGAATATCAATAGGTCTTGGTATTTAGTCTTTTCAACGTGTAAAATTTTTTTGACTCTCAAAGTCATTGCTTGGCCAGGCCACATAGTGTCTGATATTTCACGAAACCAACCATCTACGATAGTTGGATGAACTAATTCTTGTTGAGACATTTCAGAAATTGAAAAAGTGGAAAAGAATAATGGGAGATGGTGAGATGAGGATTTTTTCGAGAAAGTTTGAGAAAGTGCGAGAAGATTCCTTTTGTTTAAGAAAGCAGATGGCAAGATATATTTCATAAAATAATAAAAAAGTCGACAAAAGACTTTTTTAAATACTGTTTTTGACTCAAACCAAAAAAAACCAGTGACAAAAAAAAATTTCACTGGGACGAATTTCTCATCTCATTCATTTTCTTTCCTTTTAGTTTGTCGGCAAAAGCTGGCTGAACTCTGTTTGTCGGATACATCCTTTTCAGGAAACTAAAACCACCCATACAATGGGTTTTTTTGAGTTTTTCAGAATTGAAGAAACTAAATGCTTCAATGTGGTTTCTTCCTTTGCTTTGGTTGCTTTAGAGACTTATGAGAAACCTAGAAAGAAACCTAGAAAGAAAACTAGCTCTTTTAAATGGTTCGGACAAAAAAGTCAATCGATTGGCTAGCCCATAAATACTGCCCAACGTCTTTGTTTGCGACTGACAAGAAATCACTTGTCAATTGATACATAAAGACCTTTTACACTAAATGTGAAAATCATTGATATTCGATATATTGTGAGAGCTCCTTATTATTACATAATATTTTGCTTACCTTAAAAATTTGCTCTGCTTTTTTGCCACTCGATTTTCGATATAAAAGAGCAGTTTTCGTTTATTTTGTTAAAGTTCTTTTATTTTAGATTATCGAGATTTTATCAAATTTGGTCCCTTAATGGCTTTTTGCTATTATTGTAACATTTTCTGTAGTGTCTAGCCAATACCACAGATAAAGTGGTGACTTCTAACAGGAACACTTCTTATGGGAAGAAGTGTTTAGTTTCTACCAGTGGCGCAATAGTATCTTGTTTTAAGGTAGTATATAACTGATGAGTCAAGAAATTATCAAACAATATTTTGTTTATTGATTATACTACGATTATTTCGGCGCTTAAGTGTTATTCTATACATTATTGTTGTTATCTATTTGTTTAGTCTTTGAGGGTTTAATAAGTCAGTGCTCCTTATTGGTTTATCATTAGTCTATTACCAGTTTATTACCAGTTTATTACCAGTTTATTATTTGTTTTGTTGTTGGGAGTCCACTATTCAGTGTTCCTTAGTGTATAATTTGTTAACTTAGTTCTTAGAGGAAGAATAAGACAAATAGATACAATTCAAATTGCTCGCTTAATCATAGGAATGTTAAGGGGAATTTGATGCAATGAAAGTAATTCAGTTGACCCAAGAGAGATGGATACAATAAGTAGGAAACCTTTATCGTTATTTTAGTCAAAGAAAATCATCATTTTTTGAACTTCAGTTTTGTTACAATGAGAAAGATGCTATTGTTCTCAAATAATCCTGTTGAGAGTTTTGGAGATGTTTTTATTTGTCGAGGTAAAGGTTATAATTCTATTATTGGTTGCCGCAAAGGATTACATTGTCAAGATTGTAGGATTCTTCAATTAATCATCTTTTGAAGCACTAGTAGATGTTGCGAATTCTGCAACACGACTTCAAAAACCTTTCCATGTTATTATGTGATATTTCCTTGTCTTACAAATTTATTTTACTCTTTTCTTTTTGCCAGTTAATTTTCATTATGGAAATGCGATATTCATTTATGCATATAGTTATATATTTTGAATTATCAAGATGCTATCAAATTTGGTCCTCCAATAGTTTTATGCTATTATTGTCTATTTTATCTTTAGGCATTCACTGAAGAAGCAAATATACAAAACTAGAAAATTTCAAAGCGAAAAGAGAAAACAATAGAAGATCGAAAACAGACCAAATTTGGGTTTATAGTTCGAAGATGCGCAATGAACAAAATAGGAAACTTCTCATGCCTGTCCTCCACTCCATAAACAGTTTTTATGCCTCCAATGCTGCTACAAAAAACTGACAGTGGTTAAATGCTGAATCTGAGCAGAGTAGAAAAGAGTACACCAAATCCAGCTGTCCGGCTATCCCTTGAAGAAGCAACTCAGCCACATGATTTGGTGAGAATGAAAGAGAATGAGCAAAGCCTGAAACTCCACTTAAAGCAGCTCTTCTTGGGAAGGTTGCCAAACATTAGCAAGGCATCCAGAATTTGTCGAAATAATGGCACCAATTAGCAAAAAGAAAACCACAGGCAAGCAGTAAAACAGACAAACAGACAAAAAGCAAACAAAAGAAAAGGTGAGAGAACCGCTTCGCACAGATGTTGAGTGTTTTCAGAGAAAACAGCATCTTGGGTTTCTCAGTGTTCTGCTGCTCAGCTGGCGAGAAGCACCAGAGAATATCAGTGCTCCTTCTTGTGCTTCTGCTCTTCCTGTCTCTTTCTCCCTTTCTGTTCTTTCTGTTGCTCTATTATCTCATAGAACTCAATTGCCATCGCTTGTTATCAAATATCTCTTAGTATTCCTCGTTTCTTGACCATGGCGGAGTAGCACTATTTATAGAAAGGTACCCTCTCTGTGTAGGATTTTCTGCCATTGACGGCCTGCTTTTCTGCCGCATAATCCCTCAGCTACTGGGCGCTTTCACGTGCAGGCTTGGAAGGTGTATGTGTGTTTATATTCCAGACCTGTTTTGTCTGAGAGGCCCAACTGGAAGTTATAATATATCTGTTATCGCTGTAACTGATATTCCTCTTGTTCCAACAACGTACTCTCCATTTTCCTTTCATTCTTTTATATCCTATTCAATTCATCGTTTGCAGCTTTTAATTCGTTATCTTCAGTTTTCTTTTCGGATTTTCTATTACGGTTTTTCAACCTGCTCATCAGCTTTTATATCCAATATCAACTTTGAAATCATATTCAAAAATATTCATTTATCATGATTTTGACATGGTTGTTTGCTTATTTACTTCTTTTTTTCTCAAAACTTATCTTTGCTGAAAGATATATTGAAACCTCTTCCCTATTAACTTGTATGGAAAACTCCGCTTTGACAGCAAGTTTTTTTGATGTGAAGTTTTTACCTGACAACAACACAATTACTTTTGATATCTCTGCTATAACAACCATCAACGACTATGTTAATGTTCATTTTCAAGTCATTGTCTATGGTATATCTATTCTTTCTCAAAATATCTCGCTATGTGATGATCTAGGTGACTATGTATCGACCCAGCTATGTCCAATATCCGCAGGTAAATTTGACGTGGATTCCTCTTACAAAGTTAGTGATTCAATTGTTGATTCTATTCCGGGCATTGCCTACACTGTTCCTGATTTGGATGCAAGAGTAAGAGTCGTTGTAACAACTAACTCAACCACAAATCCTGAAAATTTGGCCTGTGTTGAAGCCATTTTAACTAATGGTAAAACTGTTCAAACAAAATATGCCTCTTGGCCGATTGCGACCGTTGCTGGCATTGGTTTAATTACATCTGGTGTTGTCTCCATCATTGGTCATTCAAGTACAGCTGCTCATATCGCTTCAAATTCCTTATCTCTTTTTATTTATTTTCAAAATTTAGCCATCACTTCAATGATGGCCGTACAAAGAGTACCTCCAATTGCTGCTGCTTGGGCTCAAAATTTCCAATGGTCTATGGGCATCATTAGCACCGGTTTCTTACAAGATATTGTCGATTGGTATGTTCAATCAACCGGCGGTACCTCTACTTCAATCCTATCGAATACTGAAATCCTATCCATCTCCGTTCAAAAAGTTAAAAGAGGTTTTAATGATTACATCGGCCAATCTTTACAAGAATTGGTCTACAAAACAAGAAATATAAATCATTTAGTCTTATTTAAAAGAGCTGATTTTGAATATGACGATACTACAAATGATGACGATTTATATACGACTGATGAAAAATCAGACGACATTACTTCAAAAATTTTGGTCTTGAGAGGTATTCAACGTGTAGCCTATTTAGCTAACCTTGAAATTACTCAATTATTTTTAACTGGTATCATTTTCCTTTTATTTTTTGCTTTTATTTTAATTTGTGCCTTGGCTTTATTCAAAGCCATTATTGAATTTTTAATTAGAACTAATGTCATGAAATCTGGGAAATTTAATGAATATAGAAGACAATGGACAATCATCGTCAAAGGTACTCTTTATAGATTATGGTTACTAAGTTTTCCACAAGTTTCTTTATTATGTCTTTGGCAACTTACCGTTAGAGATTCTGCAGGTTGTGTTGTTATTGCAGTTTTCCTTTTAGCCATCGTTGCAGGCGTTTTATTCCAAGCTGCTATAAAATTGTTGCAGCTAGGTAGAAGATCAATCAAAATTTATAACAATCCTGCTTATATTCTATATGGAGATATCAAAATATTAAATAAATTTGGATTTCTATATGTTCAATATAGAGCAGATTGTTATTATTGGGTTGCAATTACTTTATTATATACGACATTAAGATCTGTCTTTATTGCCTTAATTCAAAATAGGGGTAAAGTTCAAGCTATCGGTATTATAATTGTCGAATTAATTTATTTTATTTCATTGTGCATCATTAGACCATTTATGGATAAAAGAACTAACGTTTATAATATATTAGTTCATTTAGTCATTTTATTAAACGCTGCTATATTTTTGATCTTTTCAAATCTTTTTGGTGGACCTGCTGCTGCTATCTCAATTAGTGGAATTATATTCTTTGTGTTGAATGTTGTTTTCTCATTATTTATCCTAGTTTTCACGATCATTACTTGTGCATTGGCAATTCTCTATAAAAACCCGGATGCAAAATACTCTCCTGTTAAAGATGATAGAGTTAGTTTTATTCCAAGAGCTGAGGGTGAAGAAAACCCAAAGAACGATACAGAATTAATGGCATTAGGTGCAACTGCAATGAGAGGCCACCAACGTGGTGACACAGAACTTTCTATAAATAATTATAAAGAAAGTAACACTAGCAATAGCAATACTAATAGTAATTTTGATACATACACAAGTCTAAGAACCCGAAGTGATTCATTGAACATTCCAGCAGTTCAACCAGCGTCAGCTATTGGTTCTTTGGGAAATAACCAGCAGACTGGTGGGCTGTTGAGCAAAATTGAAGATAATTATGACGATTATTCCTACAAGGGCAACAATAACTACGTTGATAACAACAGTAAAACCCCCGGTTCTTCAGGTGTCTTGTACCAAACAACCAGCTCTTATCCTTATAATGCACAGGGCAGAAGCACAAATGACTTATTAAATGAAGTTAAAAGTGATAATACAGGAAATAACATTGGCAATAATGTTTTCAGCGATAGCAACAACGACAATAATAATAATAATACTTTTAATAATAATAATATTGATAATAGTAGCAGTAACTATAATTATAATTATAATTCCAGCTCTGGTTTTAACTCTTCATCTAACACTGGTGGCAGCTTTTACAACAACAATAACAACAGCTTTGGCGGCTCAAGTACAGCCAATTTCCATACAAACACAGCGGGAGGAGCAGCTTTTAACAGGACTGCACCATATCAGGGAACTGGTGGTGGTTATCATTAAGAGATTTTCTAAAGCCCTGTGAGTTGTTTTGTTTTTTGTTTTTTTTTACTTTATCTTTTAATTATTGATTTCAATTTCTCCAATTAATTTTTATCCATTTGAATTTTTTTGTTTTTACGTTTACTACAAACCAAGTTTTCTTTGGTTTAAAATTGTATAATTTTTTATTTCAGTTTTTGTTTATTATTTACTTATTCTTTTTCAGTTTTGTTGATTAATTTTGTCTTGGAAATGGATTTTTCTAATGGATTTGTTAGTATTTATGTGCTATGGTTTCGCTCATATACAATGCCAGAAACGCCAGCCATATGGGTTTTATGCACACCATGCAATGCACTGACGCGTCCATATTCATCATGGCACACTAACATACATACACGTGATGCTTTCAGCGCTTTGATTCTGTTTTTCTGTTAGGTGTCTGTTTTGTGACCGCCAAAAGGGGTGCTGGAGAAAAAAAAACAGTTGCTCAGAGACTGCGTGCCCTTTGCAATTGTGATATAATCTCGATTGGGTATCACTCGAAGAGACTGTTAAAGGAAACTCTAATAAGGTTTTCTATCGCTGCTAATCAACCAGAGACTCATCTTGAATGAATATTTGGTTTCACGTCTTTTTATCCATCTTTCTTGTATTTATTTTATTTGCCTAGCCACTATTCATCATGAGTTTTAGTCAACCGCCTCCTCCCATTGAGCAGCTATTCAACACCATTGAGGAAGCTAAATTGTACCTAGCTGAGTATATGTCCCAAACAAATGTTAAAATAGTCATCTACAGGTCTAACAAGGACAGAGGAACTGTCAACTATAGATGCCATTTGGGTGGCATTTACATCAACAAAAGATCTCTAACTTCTGAAACTAGAAAACGAAAATCTACTACGTCTAAAATAAATTGTGGTTTCAAATTACTACTTAAACTAGATCGCTATTTGAATAAATACAAGCTACTAGTCACTTGTCCAGTTCATACTCATCCAATCTTGCCTAATAACACCGCTCTTATTGCAAATACCAATGCAACCCATAATAATCAAAATGGTGATGATAATGATGTCCTTCATAAATCCCAATCTGAAAGAAGCTCTTTTGCAAATTCCTCATTTTCAGTCTCAAATTCAACCGTATTATTGAAGAAATATAGAAGATCAACCGAAGTCGTGGAATTCATTTACAACCTACTTAAAAATGATAAAAATATGCAATTGACCGAAATTAGACATCTACTTCTAGGTCAATTTCCTAAACTATCAATCACTAATGAAGAACTTCAAGTTGAAGTAACCGCTTTAACAAGCGATAATGCTGAGTCTTACCATAAATATAGAACTTCCAGTAAAACTAATAACAGGATTAAAAAAAGAAATATAGATCAGCTCAACATAATTACTCAAAGAATATCTCGTAATGGTTACCCCAATAACAACAATAATGGTGACAATGATAATGTCAATGATAATAGTTATAATACTAATACTAATACTAATACTAATACTAATGCTAATGCCAATGTTAACAATAACACTAGCAAAAACTCTAATAATGCTAACTCTAAAAATGATAATGTTAATGATATTAATTCTGCTGGAACAGACATTAATGCTGATAATCAAGTTAATAATGTCACAAATTCTAATTCTTCAAACAATAATACAACTATAAATAATAATTCTGCTTTTAATGATTTATTATATTCTAATTCCACTTTTTCTTTAATAACAACAAAACAAAACAACCAAGTTAATACAGATAAAACATCTAATTCAACCAATAATAATAATAATAATAATAATAATAACAAAAATAGCAAAAAAAAGCATACACTAAACAATATTCGAAATTCAAACCAATTGGATAATATCCAATCTCTGTTACCAAAAATTTTGGAGAGTGATAACGTTAATGTCGCTAACATAACCACTTTAAATGGCACTATAAACGATATTAATAATATAACTAATATCACTGGCTTAGATAATCTAAACAATATTAATACTCTAAATAATTTGAGTAATATAAATATAAATAATTTGAACGGTTTAAATAGTTTAAACGATTTAAATAATTTACAAAACTTAAATAACTTACAGAATTTAAATAATTTAAATAATTTGACTAATATGAGCAATATCAACAATTTGAATAACTTAAATATTATAGGTAATAATAATGAATTTGGAAATCAAAATTCTCTCAAATATTTAATCAACAATGTTGACAATTATATCTTTAAATTGATCCAAAATACTACAATCAGAGAATTTTCAAATATTAAATTTCTTTTATTTGATAAATTTACAACTTTGGCAATGTCTGATGAAGCTGTTAAATATTCAATAGATAATTGTATCAATTTGAAAAATTATTTAAAATATCAACAGCAACAGCAGCAACAGCAACAGCAAAAGGAAAAACAGCCAGTTCCCTTGCAAAAGAACCAATTGCAGCAAACTACTGTTCAAAAAACCACTGTGCAACAAAACCAACCACTATCTAATCACTCACGACATGATTCATTACAACAAAGAAACTCTCTTCATCATACTATTGTTCAGCAAAGTATTGTTCAGAATAGTTCTGCACAAAATGACCCTATTCAAAACAATTCTTTGGAACAGAATCAATTTCAATCAAATGACTTGCATCAAAACCAAATCATACAAAACCAACTACCACAAAATCAAAATGGCTCTTTGAATAATGTTACAGAAAACATTCAAAATAATCAAGCTGTTTCAAGTACAGATACCGTAATTCAGCAGATTCATTCTAATGCGATTCGTATTAGTAGAAATTACCAAAATAACCAAAATAACCAAAATAACCAAAATGATCAAAATATTCAACAAAACGAGATCACCCAATCTACTCAACTTTCTGTTCAAGAAACACAAACAAATCAAAACAATCATGATAGAACAATTGACTTATTTCATCAGCATTTACAGACGCATTATCATATTACCAATTTTCATCCACAATTTCATTCAACAATGGAACAGCAACAAAATCAGCATAAAACTGGTTCTTCAACTAATTTTGTTTTGGTTAATAATCATAATGATTCAAACATGAATTCTTTAATTTCTGAAAGAATCGAAGAATTGAATAGATCAAACAGCAATGATTTGCTAAATCCTACTCAATCATCGAATAATAATTTGGTAGATAATTCCCATAATATCGATAATACAGAAGAACCAGAAACGCAAGTTGGATCAAATGATTCTAATATGGATAATTTTGATCAAACAAATAATGATTTTAATGAATCAAACTATAGTAATAATGATTTAAACAATAATGTTCATGAAGAAAATGATGAAGACTCAACTAATGGAAATATAGAACATGAAAACTTGAACAATGAAAATGAGAATGAGAATGAGAATGAAAATGAGAACGAAAATGAGAATGAAAATGAGAATGAAAATGAGAATGAGGATGAGGATGACAAAAATGGATTTCAACTTTTTCAACCCGACCCGCCAAAGGAACAAGAGTTTTCAACAATGGATGAGGCAAAAAAATATCTTCAAGATTATATGATATCTCATAGAGTTGGACTTGTAATATATAAATCCGGAAAGGATAGAGGATATGCATTGTATAGGTGTGAAAAAGGTGGTAATCCAGAACAATCGGTATCAAAGAAAACACGAGATAGACTTAAAAATCCAGAAAAAAATGAACAAGAGCAGGAAAATTATGGTCATGTAACTAAAAAAAGAAAAAGAATGTCTAAAAAATTAGGATGTAAATTTAGGGTTCATATAAAATACCAAAAAAGAACAGAAAAATTTCGATTATACGTTCCTTTTAGTAAACATTCGCATTCGACACTAATTACAAATATTAAAGATCACCCAGTATTAAGGAAAAGAACACCAGAAGTATACAATTTCATGAAATATTTATTTACCCAAGAAAACGTTAAAAAGCCTCAATTTATAAGAAGAAGGTTATTGGAAAAATTTCCGACATTAAATATAATTGACAAAGATGTTTATAATGATCTTCGGAAAATTAGACAAGAAATTGCGCAAGCTGAGGAGACAGAGATGAAGAATAATCAGACACTAGACGAAAATATTGACACGAGTTTGGTGAATTTCCAAGAATTGCAACTCCAATTAACTGGAATGGATATAGAAAGTGCAAATGCCGTTCAAATTATGGGAATAGTTCCTTCTCATTTCAACCCAGTCTTGCATCAGTAAAACCGTATAATTAGCGACTTTGAATGATTGTATTGTTAATGATAACTGAAGAATATTATTGTTAAATAAAGATATAATGTTGAGTATATAGAAGTTTTTCTCTTTTTTCATGTTGTGATTATTAAAATGAAAATTATATAATGAGAAAAGTATGTTTGGGATTGGTTATGAATAGAAATTAAACCAGTAAATCTGATCTGAGATAACTCTGTTCATAGAATATTGAATTCTAGCATCAGACAAATCACCTCTGACAGCAAAACCATGGACGACTCCACCAAATAGATCAATTTGATAGATGGCGCCTTTTTCAGCAAGAACCTTTTCAGATTGGTGTCTCAACTCGATTGTAAAGGTCTTGTCAATTTCAGCAGCAGATATCAATAACGGTTTTGAGACACTTTGAATTTCCTCGATTTGAACTAAACTGGGATGAGCAACAGCAGCAGCATCAGCATAACCAGTATCAGAGATTTGCTGGATGGCATATCGTCCTCCAAAGCAGTAGCCAGTGACACCAATGAACTTATACTTAGCAGAGTCTTTTAGTTTTTTGAAAAAATCGTCAACAATAGGTTTTGTTTTCTCTAAGTTGTGATAGTCAAGCCATTTTTGGATTTTAGCAGCATATTGTGGGTCGTTTTGGCTGAAGGTAACATTACCTCCCTCCAAATAATCAGGAATTACAACATAGTAGCCAGCCTCGGCGAGTTTGTCAGCTATCAAGAGAACATTGTTGTATCTGTGGCCAAAGACATCAGTTAGAATCACAATGATCTTGGAAGAGTTCTTATCGCCAGTTTGATAGGTATCATATCCCAAAAAGTCAGTATGCTTTCCCTTGGGCTCTCCAGAGTGGAAAATGGTTTTGAAGCAACAATCGTAAGCAGACATCTTTCCCATGGTTCTCTCAACAGCTTTCTCAGTGCAATTGAATCGAAAGAACAAAAAAACTTCAGTCGCCTCTCCAACATATTCACTGATTCTTACTAATTGGAAATTGGTCTGTTTTGTGAGACAGTCGGATATAGCCTTCGGTTGCAAACGAACGTTTGTCCTTAACGAGCACCGACTTGAGAAAACTTGATTAGCAAGCAGCTGCAAATGAATCCAACTGGATCTGTCTGGTAAAAGATGTGCTGATTACTAAACTATGTGAAACAAATGTAAGCGAACTGATTCTTGAAGAATTATTGTTGAAAATCAAACTTCCGGCCTGTTGGAAAGCAACGTAAAAGGCATCTCCGAGGTGTTCGTCGACTTTATTAACCAATCAGCGGATTTATATTGAACCGTGCTCTGTTTATGTCAGCCGTGGTCGGTATTCTCAAACTCTAAAACTCGATTACAAACTCAATTACACCTTCTTATAACCTCAATTGCAACCTCAATTGGCTAACCAGGGACTTCGTTAGCAAATCACAGCTAGTGCTGGTCTATACAATATGTCTGCTTTCTTTATGAGTTTGCCTCTGGTTATGCGTCGCTGTTTTAGATGACTTTGACGAACGTTGAATCTGGCAAGCAGATCTTGGGTTTTCTGAAGATGCTGTAGCGAAAGAGCCCCTGCCATGTTATGGGCTCACAGTCCTTTTTATTTTCATTAATGCTTTCCTTTTTTGGTGCTACTTTGATGTCTCTACTACCCAAAAGTGCTCTTCTGTATTGTGGGTTTTTGGCCGCAGACGAGTTGGTGATCAGGTCTTCTGGAGCTTCTTCCAAAAAGGCATCCATTTTTAACTCACTGTTCTTCAACAATGCCAATGAAATAATTATGGTTCCGTCACTTCTTATCTCAATCTCTTCACTGCTTTGGTTTGTTTTCACACCCATATCCTTAGATTCACTGCTGTTGTTTTGGTTTATGTTTTGGGCTTTAACAGTTTTAATGTGGTTGGCCATTTGTATTATTCTATTGAGCGATTTTTTCTTTGAAAAACTGCTGCTGGTTTTATTGCTCTTTTTTTTGGTTCCAAAAAATCCATGATGTAATTTCAAATTTGAAGATAAATTGTACTTTGATTCTATTTTATTTTGTGGTGATTTATTTGAGCTTGTATTATTATTGTCAATTATGCTGCCTTTTTTGAATTTTTTCTTTTCTATCCCACGCTTGACAATTGGAATTGAACTATTTGGGCTTTTCGAATCTTTGAAATTGTCTGTCTCATTATTATCTAAAATACGGTTATGGTTGTGGCCATGTTTATGTTTGTAGAGGTTGCTTATATTGTTTAAATCCCCAAGGCTATAATAATAATAATACCCCCCTTTTGGAATATCATCATCATAGTCATTATAGTAATCATTATAATGATGATTTTCACAATCGTTGTGCTTTTTTCTTTTATGATTTTCCTTACAATCTTTACCTTCACAAAACTTTTTATGCAACTTTCCAAAAATTCCTCTTTTTTCCAACTGATTTTTTTCATGATTTACTGATGAAATTTCTTTAACTTCAATTTCAACTTCGTCTGAGCTTTTTATTTTTTCTCTTAAGTTTTCCTCAATTTCTTTAGATTCGCCATTATTTTGACTAAAATTCTCTTCAGCTATTTTGGTTTTCAAAAACTTTCCTGCAAATAAAGCAGGATCAATTTTTGGAATATATTTAAGTATACTTGGCTTCAACTCAGTTTCATGATCATTTGATTCATTAAAATTTTCACTTTTAACAAAATCTTTTTTTTCATGATTATATTTTTTAAGCTTCTTAAAATGTTTCTTAATATCAGGCTTATGAATATATGATTGATTAACAATTTGGTAGTACGCAGGAAAAATTGATAATTTAATATCATCTTCTTTGATTTTTAGACAATAACTTTGATTTGGAGATACAACATTAATTGTACAAAATATGCTATGAACAAGGCTGGAATAATTTATTGATTCAAGCCAAGATGTTGCAAATCTATCAAAAAATGAATCCGATTCAGAATTTGACTTGGAATCAGTATTAACATTTTCAACATTATTAATTATTCCATGACCATTGTCTTTATTCCCTTTATTAATCAATAGATCATTTCTTTGTTTATCTGTGCCATTAATTTGTTTTTCAAATTTCAATGATAATTTTCCTAAATTTTCAGCTTCATCACTTTTGAACATAAAAACAAGTAATGGCTGATCATTTATTAATGCTTTTTTAAAAATAGGGAGATTTTCTTTTGGCAAATTAATAATATTCTTAGCTGCAAGGCACTTTTGGTTGATATAAGGGACATCATAGTGTGAATTAGAATTCAAGTAATTATATGGCAAAATTAAATAGTAGTCCACCAATTTGAAATGGTTTGGTAACTTAAATGGTATTGATTCTTGGATAAACTTAACATATTGTAATTTTTCAGAATCTTTTTGAGGTTTTTTCAAAGTCTCAGTACTATTGAATAAAAATAATGTGGTAGAATTTTCTGGGACACAAATTGATGTTAAAAACTCATTACTTGAAAATTGAAATTTTTTACTCGTTTTAACCAAATAATCAAAACCAACTTTTTTCATCAACTTATCATCACTTAATAGTTTTCTCGAAAGAATCATCATATCATCTTTATAATCGTTCAATGATGTATAGTTGTTAGCGATTATTGGACTAGTTAACATAATTGAATTTAATTCAGTTTTTAAAATTGAACCAACTTCATTATTACTATAAAAATCTGCGTGTAATTTGGAATGAATTGATTGAGGCGAAACTTTTTGCTTTGGTAATAAATCATGAATTATAGAATCTTTAATAACTATTTGAGCATGAATCTGGGTTAAAAATAAGAGATTGGAAATCAACTGAGAGAGCAGAAGAAACGAGAATTTGAATTTGAATTTGGAATTGATTTTCATTTTGATTCTGTATAATTATAAATCATAAAATACAAAAAAATAGTTCTCTCAATTAAGAACTGTATAATATATATATGTAAATTAATTTTTAATAATTTAAAAGAATCAAGACTCAAATATGAAATAAAATAATTATTAATCAGAATATAATAAAAGTAGTGAAAAGAGAAAAGAGAAAAGAGAGAGAAGGAATAAAAAAATGACAAAAAACCATTAAAAAAATTGCTACAAAAACCTTTTTTTGTGATAATTGACACAAAACCGCCAAAATCAGCATTAGAAAAATATAAACACACCAAATATAAAACCAGATAACCTTAGCTAGAACTGAATTGGAAGTTTTTCAAAGAAAAGAAATAATTCAGTGGAGTTGGTTCAAGCGAAAATAAAATTGCAGATTGAAATCTGAAATAAAATAAAGATGGAGTTGATAAATATCACCTTCATTGACAATTACTTGACAGAAATGTAAAGACAGATAGCATTATTATTCAGTATATATTTTAACTTTCTTTTTACCTTCAAGCATAGCTTCATTGATAACTTCGGTTAAACCGTTTTCGCTGATAATATATCTCTTTGTAAATTCTGAATCTTCAGCAATTGGAGGTTGTGGGACATTGATGGGGGTTCGATAATTATTAGCTGAACGAGCACTAAAATCACGACGAGGAGGAGCATTGAACTGGGTTCCAGTTGGGATTATGTCTAATCTTGCAATGTAGAAAATGGTGGTGAAGATAACTAGATCAATTAACCAAACAAAAGTGCTGACACATACCATTGAGGTAACAGCCTTTCTAATATCACAATACTTCTGGCTGTTTGTGCAGTCAGCAGGCATCAATATACCAACGCAAACACCAAAAGCAGAGATAGTTAAACAGCAACAAATAATGCTATAAAATATGCAGTTGTTTTGGGAGAAATTGAGGATTCTCAATACAAAGAGCGAAGAAACACTCATTATAATTGCAGCTTGGGAAATCAAAAAAGACCAAACTGAACGATTGATTTCAGTGTCATCATAATTTAAAGATTGAGAGCAAAGAGTAATAGTGATAATTTGCAAAACAATTTGAAACATCTGAATTAAAGTATTAACTGTAATACCATCTCTAGGAATGCCCAAAAATTTAGTTGCTTTATCTGGGACAGTGATAACAGGTTTTGATAAGGTTTCTGAAATAAGCATTCTTTCCACGTTATTATATCTTGAATTGTGAGAGTATTTGACCTCAGTTGCAGGTGGTGGAATATTTTGAAAACCTATGTTTTTCTCTTCATCGAGAGTATATTCAGATGGAGGATATTTGGTATCATTATCGATGTTATTTTGGGGGTCTTTTTCGTCGTCTAGAACAGAACTTGGTGGGAGTGGAGGGCCTTGTCTAGAAGCTGCAGAAGCAATTCTGGAGCCTCCATTGGGAGGAAGAGTGTTATGATCATAAAAGGCATCTGATATTGGGGGATATTCTTGACTTGGTGCAGGAGGAGGAATAGAACTTGAATTGGAAGGGGATCTATTCTCATTTGGTTTTTGATGGTCAAAATAAAAATTGGTACTTTGACCATAACTGAAATCTCTATCTTTATCCATAACTAAGTAGATATTACTATTTTATAACTAATATTGATTACGTGTATATATATGTTAATGATGATAATTACCTAATTAATGATTTCTTGATGATTTTTCTAATTGGAAAAGAACAAAATAAAATAAAATAAAACAAAACAAAACGGGATTAAAAATTGATTTGGTGAAAGAATTAATAACTAAACAAACAGTATTAATCAATCGTCACTTTGCTTGCAAGTAAATCTATTGTTGTAGCAGGAAAATAAAAGCTTCAAAAGAAGTAAGCACAAAAAATAAAAGAAACTTGTCAGAATCGATGGAAATGGTAGAATATATATTAAGCCAGCATTCAGCAATTGGGTGACGATGTTTTTAAATAGCTGTGTTAATAAACCAAATTCAATTATCCAGATAAAACTAAAATAATGAGCCTAAGGGGGGAGCCAAAAATTAGTTAGAATTCGACAAAACTTGTATAGCAAAGAAAGGCTAGGAGGTGTGTATTCCGTAATAGTAATGAAGTAGCACCATAACTAGACTTTGAAACAGGATTGTAGGCAGATAGCAGTAAAGTTGTTTATAAAATGGACGTAGATTATTTATAAAAGCGAACATAAATACACTCATCTCGTCTAGCTGTAAAGAGTAAGACTGGTGGATATATTTTCTTTCATTTTGGTAGTGAAAACAATAGACGCAATGCAGACGCTATCTGCTGCAGGCTATAATGCGACCGTTGCGTGCTTTCGGAAAGAAACGTTTTCGAAATAATATTTCGACGAGCGGTCTTCGTGCACTATTTAACATTGTGCGTCCGAGTATGCATTTTCTGCTTGGCAGCTCTTTACCGGTATTGTCGGCGTCGACTTGGACATTGATGTCCGGTCTGCTTCGTATGATCACGAATAGCGCACGAAAAGTACGTCAACGGATAATGCAATACCGGCACAGTTTCTGCAAGGGTCATGAGATGCCTTAAAACCAGAAAACTGGATGTGTTTGTACGTTTGGTCTTTAACAGCTCGTGGGTGACGGTTTTTGTCTGTTTATGGTGCATTAGCTGTCTGAGGCGACACCATTTGCAAAAACAGCTATAAAAGCATCTGGTTTAGTCAGTGGATGCTTATGTTTGTGGAAAACAGATCAACATTTAGAGGCTAGAACCACCTTTTGTCGTCTAGCGAAGCGTTCGCCAGGACCAGGTGCTGTTCCTGAACAGATCTCGTGTAGTTGGCGAACAAAAAAAACAAACAATAGGGAAAGAAGACCCGCAGAGGTGGTTTTGATCTGCGGCCAAAAAGGTTTCTCATTATATTTCTGCTTTTTTTGAGGAAGAGAAGCTATTTTAAACAAACAATACTTCAAAGTTCTTTGCTACGCTTTAAACTGGGTTACCTCAGATGAACAGACTTGAGTCAATTCGCTAGAAAGTATTTTAGCCAAAGAGGTGTTTTTTTCTGACCCAATTCTAATTCCAAAATATGGATTTCATATCTAGTCCACCATAGGCTCGTTTAATATGCACATAATCCAAGAACCGATGAACAACAATTATTTTAAGACTTCAGGTTTTTTTATAAGGTAGTTAGTGGCTATCTCTTCACCTTTATAATTGACTTGATTCCTTCTCATCTCAGTTAGCTGGATTTACTTTTTTATTAGTAGTTCCTTTTTTCTTGATTTATTATAACCTTCCTAATAATTTCCAATTATTCTTACAACTTCAATATTTAATCCTCAATCCTTAATTACATTATTGGCTTTGATTTATATTACCTATTTCACATAAATAAAATCAATTTTAAATTTGTCTTTGTTTTCAATTCACTTCCAATAAACTGTCTTTTCCATCATCCTTTATATAATCATCCTGTTTTAATAACCAATCCATATTAAGGTGAACCAGCTATCGTATTTAATATTTGTTCTATAATGTCAGCACCTACTCATAGACGTAGTTTCTCTGTTGATTTATCAAGCCAACCTAATATATTTGCCCCACCATTACCACCACAAAGACCAGCTAATCAAGATCCTCAACAACAACTACAATCTGGCCAGCCTCAACAAAACCAATATATTTATCCCTCAGAAGAACATTCTGCTCATTCACAATCTTATATCCAACCTCAACCTCAACCTCAACCTCAACCTCAACTATCACATTCCCAATCAAATTTACAAGCTCAACCACAACAAGATCAATTTATTCAAGATAATATCTCTGCTCTATCACAGCCAAAATCAAGAGCTGTTTCAAACAATTCCCAGGGTGTCTCGCTTCGTGATAATCTTTCACCTACGCCTACTAATTTTAATAACCAGCAACCTCCTTTCAACAATACTTATAGTAATTTCAATTTGAATAATTTAAATAATAATGAAGAAATGATTAAAACAAATTACGAAAATTTAAGTGATCCCAATATCCACGCTAACCAATCAGTTGGTCCAAACGATGACTCCAAGTATTTTGAAAATTTAATTTACAAAAAAACCATTAAAAAACCAATAGCTAAAATTCCAAATTTTGCTCAAAGAACTTTAGGTATAAGCCCAGATGCTTTTTCTGCAAATACAATCATTCATTTAATTCAAGTATCATTAACCGCAGCCACCATTGGTTTATGTTCTAGAAGCTTGAGCATTGACAATGAAATCAGTAAAAGAGTTTGGTCTTTTTTAATTTCTCAATCCTCGATTATCTTAGCTGTTTCTTTGCTATTTTTGTTTAAAATCATGGATTTTGAGCATAATAATGGAATCTTCTATTGTTTAGCAAGTTGTGGTTTAACAATTTCTGCTATGGGCGTTTGTATAGGTATTTTGCAAACAAGAAATTGTGGGATGGACATAGACTCCTGTCGTATTAGAAGAGCTATCACTGCTTTAATTTGCACCTCAACTTTTATTTGGGTGATCATCTTAGTTCAATTTCTAATTGTCTTTTACGTCTCAAGATTAGGCAAAGACAAATTCTTGCCTTCTGCTTTTCCTGATGAAACTTTCCAAAGAAATCCTAATCCTCGTTACCACCATACACAGGAAAAACAATATTACCATCCTGGGAATTATTTTGCAGACGATGATTCTCACAATCATATTGTCAAAGACTACATATTGAAAAATGGTTCTTTATATGATGCTTCTAGCACAAGCATAGCAAATAAAGTCAGAATTGAATTATATGCTTAACAAGTCTGTATATTATCCCTCACAAGTTCACATCTATAAACCTAAAAATTACTTATGAATCTTATTGTTTATTATAATAATTTTTTTTTTACTATTCGTTTTCAAAATTGGTATTCTGGTTAACAAATGGCAGGTAACGTAAAAACCTGTGTTTATATTTGGTTATTTTATTTATTTATTTACTATTTTATTATTTGACTTAGTTTAATTATTTTTTGTCGTATTTATAGTTTTTTATTTCCATTTTCCCTTTACTCTTCACTTACTCTCGATCATCTTCTAATTCTCTCAAGTTCCTATTTTCCTACAATGTAGACCTTTATCTATCCTCTTTTGTACCCGTCTTTTTATATGGAGGTAGGATGTATTGATTCCCAAACCCTAATTGGAGTGAAAAACTGTTCCATCAAGACCTAAACAACGACTTTACTGAAGAACAACGTCCCACAACTGCTCAAGATAATATGACGCCAGATGCTGATACCCAGTTAAATAAAATAATACGCGAGCTAGCAAAGAGACCAGGCTTGGTTTCTTTGCAGAATATCAAGAGAATTGCCGAATTGTTTGGTCTATATTCTATCACAGATGATTCAACCAACATCAATTTTGAGAGATTAACAATTGGTGGTCCTATTTTGCTTATTGATATTGATTTCGATAGCTCCACTTTAAAGGCCTCTAAGGTCTCGTTATCTTTGGTGTCTGAGACTTCTGATCTTCAGGGCGACTCTTTGATGGACACTGATGTCCAGATCAATGCCAACCAAAATGCTAGCAAAGAAGATAATGTTAATATGGACGCTAAGGACGATCAGAAACCTATATTTTTGAGAATTAAAGGGCAGTTTGATTCTTTGAAAAGACAACTTTCTTTCACAAACAAGTCAATCGAAAACTCTGCTGATAAAGTCTTGCTTAATTCGTTGACAGTAACTGGATTGCCAAAGAAGCCAATAAATAAGCAAAATATTCAATACGACATAATAAAGCTAAATAATTTTGTCAGCAATTTAAAGTACTTGACAAAATTAGACAAACTATCTGTTATAAAACCAAATGACACTCCTACTTCAACTACTGCTTCCAATCTCAATTCCACTTCCAACTCGGAACTTGATGACCAGCAAAATGTCGATTTATTCAACTATATTGACGAATTATCCATGGTATTTTATATTATCCATCAAAATGAATATATATATTATCTAAATCAATTGAATTCCTCCACATCGTATATTAATTCAGACCCATGGGAAGAAAAAGCTTTGGATTTGATCAATGGCTATTCCAATTTCGGGAAACCAGAAATAAATGTTAATAATAAAATTGGTCTTTTTATGAAATACTGGGAGGATAATAGGTATATAAATAGGAAATCTTTTAAAATAGAAAATCAATACCTTAAAACACCAGAAAATAACAATAAAACTAATGATGATAAAAATGATCTGGATAGTGAAATGATGAATATAAATGAAGAATTGCCAAATAATAATCTTGATATATTCCAATCAGAAACTTACAACACAAAATTTCATAAAGATATAAAATATATCCAATTTTCTGTGAAAGCTGATGTAAAAAACTCTCTCTTGCCTCTAGACACTGTTTTAACTTCCTCATATCTCGATTCCGTTACAAATTCATTAAGAAATATTCAATTAAAAACTATTAACCAATCTCAGAATTCACAGAACACAATTATTAATTTTATTGATCATAATATCGCAAAATACTTTGTCACTCCCATTAACAATTCAAATTTGAAAACATGCCTAAATTTAAAGTTTTTTCCTAACGTTTGGATTCCTATTGACTTATTTTTATCATATTTTAATAGTTCCAATAGGTCTTATAAAATTGAAATAAAATTTAAAGAGTCTACCAAAATCAATAAACAAAAATCAAAATTTGAAGAAGAGGAGTTTCTTGATTTGAATGATTTAATACGAAAGACAAATAAAAGAAACAATACCGACGAATTATATATCAATAATTATAATGACTTGGTAAATTTGCAAGAAGGAAAAGCAAAAAAATCATTAGTAAGTGAGGTTCCCCTTGTCGATGATATATTTTCCAATTTTAACTCTCAAGTACAAAAACAATATGTGATAAATGTTAAGAATCCTGAAGCTTTTAATGGTATAACAATGGAAAATCTTGATGATGCTGTATTGATTGAAGAAGATGAGGAAGATGAAAGTAAAAATAATGGTTTCAATAATGTATTGGATAATAATTCTAAAAATGTTTCAAACTCTACTCATTCAGCAAATACGCAAACAAATTCCAATACTGTTGATGTCAAATATAGTTTTATTAATAATTCTTTATCAAAATTGAAAAAAATCAGATCAATTGATATTATTTATAAAGAATTCGATAACCCTGAATCGAACTCTCTTAATCAACCATTTTTAACAACTAAAGTTGATGATTTTTTGAAAAACTTTCAAGATTTTTTAGTAGATATAAGATCATGGTTATTCATTGAAAATTTAATAAAATCTTTAGCAGAAAAATCGCATTGTTGCCAAGATGATGATAATAGTAATTCTAAAGCAAATGATATTCTTAATATTCCAACACAAACTGAAGAGCCATTACATGTTTTTAGGAAAAAAAATTTAGAAACAGATGCTTCTGGATTAAGTTTTGAACGTAGAAGAGGATCTATAACAAGTAACGGAATAATAAATAATCCAAGAGAAATTATTAATAGATCTAGATCATCATCAACAGCATCACATTCCTATACTAATTCAAATTTAAATTATAAAGGGTTATATAATGATAAAGGAAGTATTGATCTTGAAGTATTTCTTGATTTATTTGCGGATGTTGATGTATCTAGCAACAGCAACAATAATAGCAATGGCAATATTATCAGTAGTCATGAAAATGAATTTGGAATAAACAATATGAATATGAACATGAATAGTAATGAACAACATCCATCATCATCATTTGTACATAAAAGAAGAAACTCATTAATCAAGCTTAAGAAAACGTTAAATTCTAATCATTATCACAATCAAAGTTTAAAATTTTTTCAGAATAATTATTTTATAAAATTTTTGCTTTTAGATTCATCAATTGATGAGCTTTCATTGGGACTTGAGTATAATTTAACTGGATCAGAGTTGAATACTAGTGGTAATATATACGAGTTTACTATGATAACCAATTTGAATATATTTCCAGATAGATCAAGTCTTAATAGTTTAAACATGAATATGAATATGAATATAGGCATTGGTATGAACATGGGTATGAATATGGGCATGAGTTCTAATAGTGGTAGTAGTAATAGTGATAACAATAGCAATGATAAAAATAACAACGATGGTTATAATAGCTTATTTGGTGGTAAAACGAATATTTTTCAAAATTTAAATAAAATCAAGCTATTTATTAATAATGGAAAAGTGATTAAAGTTGATATGTATGAAGGAAAAGATAAGATATTTACAGATAATGGGATAATTAAAAAGGGGGATATCATTGAAAACTCCAATGGAAATAATATTAATTATTCGAATTCTAATAATAAGAGGCTTAAAAGCAAGAAAATTGTGAAATTGATGGAAGCAATTAATCGAACCGAGAATATATATTATGTTCTTGATTGGTTATTAAGTAGCAATTAAATTACAGGAAAGCTATATGATTATTAGTATATAATTAAGAAAGAATGTACAATTTATCAGGTATTTTAAACTTTAACACCGATATGGATAGCAGCTACACCAAAGGTCAAATTTTCAAAGCCTTTATCAGGGACATAAAAACCAGCCTTTCTAATCATATTTGAAAAATTTTCTTGAGATGGGAATTTTTCGATACTTTCAACCAAGTATTGATAAGAATCTCTATCATTGGCGATCAATTGGCCCATTAGGGGTATCATTGTAAAGCTGTAATTTTTGTATATTGAATTTAAGATTGTGTTATTAACTTTTGAGAACTCAAGGCAAGCAAAGATACCACCGGGTTTTAAGACTCTAAATGCAGCATTTAAACCGGCTTGAATATTCGTAAAGTTTCTAATGCCAAAAGCAATTGTATAGATATCCTTTGAGTTGTCTGGGACTTTGTCTAAAATTTCGCCATTTTGTTCAATGAATTGAATTCTTGAGGGATTTTCTAGAGCGAATTTTGATTTTGAATATCTATTTTGACCTTCTTTTAACATATCAGTATTTATATCAGCGATTGTCATTGTTGATTTGGTATCTTTGTGGTTTTTAGCAGCGTGGTCTAATAAGCCAAAAGCGATGTCACCAGTGCCACCGGCAACATCTAAGAATTGTAAAGGTTGACCACCAGGTCTCATTCCAGCATCTAATCTTTTAATGAAATGATCCTTCCATAATCTATGGATACCAAAGGACATGGCGTCGTTCATTACATCGTAGCTTGAAGCAACAGAGGAAAAAACATTGTGAACCAATTTCTCCTTTTCATCTTGAAGAACAGTTTTAAAGCCAAAATGAGTGGTGGGATCATGATCACTAGAATTCTTATTTGGATTTGGATTGATGTTATTAAAATATAAAGAGGAAGAAGAGAAAGATTTTTTGTTCAAATAGGCATTTGCAGATCTGTTGAGAGAAATTGAGGATTTAAGAGTACTTTTAAGAAACATTCTTGGGATCAATGAGATAAATTCTTAATATTTAAGGAGATGAAGAAAGAGGTGAAATGGGAGTTTTCCAATTGGAACCAGTGAAAAAAAATGAGTTGAGTTGAGTTGAGTTTTCGAGGATTTGGAGAAAAGCCGACAGAGCGCGGACATGAGAAAAAAACCGAGAATGCGCGGGCACATTTTTTGCAAAAATTACGAGAAATACGAAAATAAAAAAAAGTATGAAAATTACGAAAACCGCGAAACTGCGGAACTACGAAAACTACGAAAATGTTGAAGAAAAGAAAAAAACAAGAAAAAGTTAAACAGAACGCATGCATTTATCTGCGCTTTTGTGCGTGGTTATATTTTTGCGCCATTTTCAGACCAAATTTCCAGTTTTGTGGGAATATAATAAGTGAAAACGGCACCCATCGGGATGGGTTGCAACGAAAAAGTTGACTTTGGATAGTTGCTATGAGTGGGAATCGAAGAGAGAAGAAGGGAGAAAATAGATCAAGTTGGGCCAAAACAATGCAAAGTGGTGATAAGATTAAGAGAATAGAAGGATGAGAGCGATTTGTTAATAAAGACAAATTAAAAGAAGAAAAATAAAAAGAAAAACAATAAAATTGGAGAACCTAAAAGTAAGCTAAATGTGTAATCAGGAGAATTAGTTTGGCAGTACTATCGTATAGTATTGTTATATTGGATGATGGATTGAGAAGCAAATAAGGACTACGGTGGTAGTATTCCATTTTGGAGAGGAATATATATTTGAAATCACTTGAGCAAACAGAGTAAGAAAAAAAGAAATCAATCAATTAATTAATTGATTAATTGAGACTAAGATAGATAATAAACATGGAAGAAAAGATGATTAATAATTGGAAAAAAAATAAATGAGTTGAACCAGAATGAATGAAAATAAACTAAAAAGGTATTCAATAATTAACTAAGAGATTTGAACCTAAACTCAGTTTGTTGAAAAATCGAGAAAGAAAGATAGGAAGTGTGAAAACATAATTAAAAGTGAATTAGAGATGAAATAATTAAATTAGAGCAATAAGAATATCTCTATTGTTATTATTATTATTATTAATAGAATAATAAAAGAAAATTATTGCGAGCGATAGTTAAAATAAGGAGAGTGTGCATGGAATGATTATCTTGTTAATCTTAATAAGTGATATTGTATTGATGGAAAATAAAGATGATATGAACTTAGAAGTTAAAAGTGGGGATTGAGAAGCATTGGGAATAATAGAATAGCGATGGTACTATTGTATGAAAGGCATATAAAGGGAGAAAGGTAGTAAAAATAACAGAATGAATAGATAAGTAAAAAGCTGAATAAATAAAATAGGACATTGAATAAATAGGATAGGATGTTAAATATTTAATTTAGTAGGGTGGTAAATAGATGGATTGAATTAGCTGTTCATTAGTAATCGTAGAAAAAAAAACAGAAAAAATTATTAAAGTTAAAATGAAATGAAATGAAATAAAATAAAATAAAATAAAATAAAATAAAGTAAAGTAGCATAATACAATATAAAATAAAATAAAACAAAAACTTAGGAATAGGTCAAGAAAAGTTTTATTAAGATTGTTAAATTGAAATGGACAAAGTTAGAAAAAGTAGAATTTATGATTTTCCAAGACTAAAACAAAACAAAACATATACATGCAAGATTAAAAAAATAAAGATGAAATTGAATAGCAAGATGAAAGAAAAGAAGTGAAAAAAATTAGGAAAAGAAAAAAAAAGAAAGAAAGAAAACAAAAAACAAATAAAATAACGAAAAAAGAAGGTAAAGTGAGAGAGCGAGAGAGAAAAATAGAAAAAAGTTGGAATATTTAACCTTTAGATTAAAGATGGGCATAAATTGAGTTTTAAATTGAGATTAAGATAAACAAAATTAGATAGTGAGGAAGGACTTTTATTTTTTGCATTTATTCAGATTTGGTAGGTTATAGAAGGAGATTTTAGAGATTCAGAGATTCAAAAAGTCAGAGATTAGGGGAAAAGGATATAAAATACATAAAATTTGAGATGGAAATGGTAATGGTAATAGGAATGGGAATGGGAATAGGGTAGAAATAGATCTGGAAAGTGAGTTTATTGAGAAGAGGAGACTTCTAGAAAGAGTAGAGGGAATTATTACAATAAAGATAATTCATTGTGAAAGAGCCAAAAAAAAATAAAATATATGCTCCAAGATGAAAGAAAAGTGAATAATAAATTGAAATTGATTAACATTGTCAACTGTTTAATAACAATGTGAGTAGTGAGAACTGACTCAATTATTGGATCAGTGGTCGTAATGAGAAGCGGTGATATAATAATAAGATAATAAGAAGAAAATAATAAAATTAATTAGTATTTGTGCCCATAAATAGGAAGATGATATTATTTATCAGATAATATTTATTAATATTTATTAATATTTATTATTAATTGCGGAAGAAAATAGGGAGGAAAGAAAGAGTCCAAATGCAAGAGTTTGATTGGCTGGAAAAGTGCAATTTATTTGCTGAGATTGTTCTATAGTGATGATGCAGAACAATAGCAGAATCTCTGAGCGGAATAAGCTCAGATTAGTGGACAAAAAACAGATCCAACCACATTTCAAGGGTAAAAGTTCTGTGGGAAAGGGGGATACACGTGATGTTTGTGTATGGAAAGCCAGAACGGTGCTTAGAAATGAGTTAGAATGCACAGGAGTCGAGAGGGGGAAAAATAGTAGCTCTCCCATAAGGGAAGGGCCATAAGAATAGCGTTTCTAGAAGCGGTGCTTTTGTGCTTGTAAATGAAACCTGTGTTATCTGAACCCTTGGACAAAGAGAGTCTCATCAAGATAGTGAACACAGGTGTGACTTGCTGCACAAGAAATACTGACAGTGCGTATGAACGCAGTGATACGCAGAGGAGAGCAGACAGTGCACTGGGTGAACACCAGTTTTTTGATAAATTCTTGAAATTTGGACTTTAATTATATTTCAATTTAATGGTATTTTAAAAATTGTATAAAGAATTTAGAAAAAATGAAAAAAGTTCAAAATTAGTACAGAAATTTTAAGGAATATGTAAGCAATTTTGCAAAGTTTTGAAATTGTTAATCAACAATTGATTTAAAAATGATTAAAATTAATCAAAAAGAATCAAAATTCAATCAACTTTAATCAAGTTTAAACACTCTTTTTAAAAAAACAGGTTAAATGATTCCACAATTTCATATTTATCATTTTTTTTTTGGACTGAAAGAGCAATAATTAAAGCAACAGAATAAAACAGTAAAAACAGTTAAGATGAACTGAATAATTGTAATTATACATTTTACTATTTAGCGAAATGATTAAATAATTGAGTTGTCATTGGTCAAGTAATTGTTAGTTAAACATATTGAGTCAGTTCACTTGGCTTATCGCTTCCGTGGATTTAATGGTTTCATGGATTTTGTAGACTTCATGGCTTCTACAATTGTTATTTATTATTTAATTAAAAAAAAAAATTGGAAACGAATAACCAACCTCTCACAAACCAGTAAGGTCACAGCTTTTTCTTTAAGCCAATCATTTATTGTAATCGGATTAGATTTGCCGATGGGTTTTGAACTTATCAAGTTTCCAATGATAGAAATCAAGCAAAAAAGGATATGTTGTGTTGGCGATAAGTGGTGAGGGTATAAATCATAGGACGAAGACAGTGGGCGATAGTGAGAAAAACAAGCACTTCAGCGTAGAATGAGGGAAAACAAGGCACACAATAATAAGAACAAGTCGGTTGCTCGCTGTTTCAGATATCTTAATTGGACTTGTACACTCCAGCAAGAAGCAAGAGAAGGAAGAAGAGAAAAAAAACAAAATATCGACCAACAATAGACTCCTCGAAATGGCATTTTTCTTGCCCTCTCACACTGTTTCGATAGCCGGTGGTCACGTTCTGAAAGAAAAGAAATAAATCCTGCTTCTGCGGGTTCAATTAGACGTATGTTTCCGCGTCCTGTTTTCGCGTTCTGCTCAAATTGCCTTTCACAGCTACTGGAAACTGGAGTGAGCGGAATTGCGAACAACTGGGCAATCTCCAGGATTGTACAAGTTAGACAATAGGCAGTAGGAAAAACAAAAATACCAGAGCGTCGGAAGCCAATCACGCTCCGGTCTGGCCAAGTCCTATTGCATTGTCTGACCGCGGTATGCAGCGTGCTTGTGCTACCGGGATCTGAAACCTCAAGCGGAGGTGTGCCAAAAAATACAACGCGTGCAATACGCATGCGAGTGCTGGCTCTTGCGCGCCTCTGCTAGCAGCAAGCCTCTGTTAAGGGGAGAAGCAGCAGCAGAGGAAACAAAAGAGCTTCTGCTCGGGGAAAACCCCGGCAAAGACTCTGGCAAAAGTTCTGCTAACGACTCTTAAAGACAGCAGTGGAACACAAAAATGAAACACAGAGAGCGAGAAAATGGGTCCATGAACAAAGAGACAGGAGACCGTTTACAGGCCAAATGAAACCGACAAAAAACTAGCCAAAAACCAACAATTAGCAAGAACTAGCAGGACCAGCAGAATACCAGCAGAAAGCTAGCAGAAAGTTAGCAGAAAAAACAGAAACTTGTTTATCCACTCAAAGATATCTTGTTTGAACTCTGAAGCCAAATTGACGTGGATAAGGCACTGCGATTCTGCAAGCAAAAACAAGAGACGTAAAGAGTTTAACCACAGAACAACAATCTCTTTCCAACAATCGTTTTTCAACAATGCTGAGAATGGCAAAGAATATCAAGCAGCAAAAACCAACCAGAGGATAGCCAAAGTTGGTGAGAATCTCAGCTGCTGATGGTGATAAACAGGAAGATCAACAGCAGAAACTCTCTGTGAATTCCAGACGAGTCACATTGAACCTTAACCTTCAAGCACTTAGTTTTCATTGATTGTTCTCTTTTTTGAACACTTTTTGAATATTTGAAATTGAATGTTCAAGATATTCAAATATTTTAAATATTAGAACCTTGAGATCTTAGAATATCAAAATATCAAAATATTTGTCTTTTAAATTCTTCTATCGCAAATTCACAAGTTTTAAATTTATAAAAAAATCAAATTTAAATTGCAAATTTTAATCATAAATATTAATTTTAATTTCAATTCAATTTGAATTTATTTTATTTATTCTATTTCTTATTCAATTCAAATTCTAACTTTGCATTTTTACTTTAATTTCAATTCTTCTTTTCACTCTAACTTTTTTTTCTACTTCACAATCCTATCATTTTATAAATACTTCTTTTTTTTCCTTTATATTTATTCCCTCTTATATATTCTAATCTTCTTCCAGCTTTTATTTTATTTTATTTCATTTTATTTTTTTTTGTTTTTATTTTCATTGATTTTTGTTTTTATTTTATCCTATTGTTGTGTTCTTCTCTAATTCCATCATCAACTTCTTCGAATTGGTCTACACACTATATACTATTTTATCTTATCCTACTCAAATCTCAGTTTCGCTTCTTTTCATCCTCAAAAATTCACATCTAATCATTATCTCTATATCTTTATAACACATACACTCTTCACCATCTCGTAACCAGCTAGACACTTAAACACCTACCTACTTATCTTCTCGTCTTCACCTAAGATTCAGAAAATAAAAGATCCTCCTAGTAGCATATTTACGATAATCTTTATTTCACTTAAAATTTTCTTCTTTTCCCCTAATAGTTGCTCATATTATTCCAACTCATCTCATTCTAATATAATCATAATTACATCAAAAATATTTATTATTTAAGTATTTATATACACAAATATATATCCACATCCACACACACATCCTCAGCACTATTTCTCTTCACTTAACTTCAACTTTCCCTAACGACAATCTCTTTTCTTTCTTCTTTTCCCGAAAATGACCAAATATACAAAAGACAAAGTCAAACCAATAAGATCTGACTACATCTCTTCCATATCCTCAAACTTCAAACTAGAAGTCGTCCAACAACCTATCCAGGCGAGAGTCTGTGAAAAGACTATAACTGCTGCCAGTAGCAGAAGATTGGTCGATCCTCCTCCTGTAGTCAAAGTCTCTCTCCTAGATGAAAATGGCAAGGACATCATTGGCCAATGTCTCGACACTCTCTTTGTCGTTGCAAGTATAGAAAGACTACCAAACTCTTATAACTCAGATTACGACTCAGATTCTGATTACGAAGACAGCATCATCATCAACAACAACCATAATCATAATCATAATCATAACCACAATAATATCGATATCGATAATGACAACTATAACGACAACTATAACGATAACGACAATGACAATGACAATGACAATGACAATGACAACGAAATGGAAAACGAAAATGATATTAAACTAAATAACGATATCGACAGCGATGAGTACGAAAACATAGATACTGAAATCATCAAATCTTCCAATATCTTAAAAAACTACAACCAAAACACCTCTCAAACACCCACAATCAAAAGAAAAAGACAACTAAAAAGAATAAAGGAACTAGAATCAAAAAACCTAACCAGCAGTGACATGCTCTGTGGAACAACTGTTCTAACTGTCCAATACCTCAAAGGTGATCCAAAACTACAAGCTCTAGTCGTCTTTACAAATCTATCTGTCAAATACGAAGGCAACTACAAACTCTGCTTTAGCCTATACATCATTCAAACAATGGGCAATTCTTCTCCAGCTGCATCTTTTCTTGCTCAAAACCAACAACCAACAAAATTACCTTCTTCTGCCACCTTAATGGCCATTAATGTCACTCCTCACTGTATAACAACTGTTAAGTCCGACACTTTTGTCGTCTCAACTGCCAAACATTTTAAAGGCTTATCTGTCAGTCCTGCTTTTCACCACACCTTAAAGGGCTTTGGTGTCAAAATTAGAACTAGAAAGAAAATCAAACAACAAAAATTCAGAAAAATTGCCAATAACGACAACGATAATGATAATTATAATAATACCGATGCCAGCGAGACCAATAAGGATGATCTTAATAAAAAATTTAACAATTTTGATAACAACAACAACAATAATAATAACAACAACAACAACAGCAATAATAATTATAATAATAATTATATTGAAAATTTTAATGGAGAATTTGTGAAAAGTGGCTCACCAAAAGATGATTATCCTTCACCAATCTATTATTCTCAAAATGAAGAACAAAATGAAATTATATCAACTAATTTTTTCAACCAAGAAGCTTCGTTAAATTCTTTAAACAAAATAAAGGCCTATTCGACATCTGACATTCCTCAAATCAAGATTTTAGAAGAAAAACAGAGATCTGCATCCTCTGAAGCTGCCTTTTTCTCAAACGAGTTTAATTTTGAGTTTCCTTATCCCAACGATTTAACTCCAACATTAACAGAATTTAAAATCAACCTACAAGATAATGAAAGCATAGCTAGCTCATCCAACAATAATTCAAATACTCCAAATAACTACTTGAACAATGATGACCCATCTCAATTGAATAACTTTATAAACCCCAATGAGTTATCCAACGTTGCCCATAAAGATAAAAACTCATCAATTGATCCAATTCTTGATCTTACAAGCATTCCACTAGATTTAAATAACGACAATTTATCATCCATTTCATCAATATCATTGTCCAACCATAATTTTTCTGAAAATAAATTATTAAGTTCATCTATAAATACAGAATTACTTAAAAACAGTAATTCCAAGAACAGTAGCATCGAAAATATTGGCAATAATAGCCCTACTTCTGTTGGAAATATACATAATCCTAGAATTAGTGCTAGCAGTATTACTTCTACTACCACTAATCACATTTCTATAAAGAACGATCAAGTTGGTAATATGATAAGTCATATTGAACATGATCCAAATCATATTGAACATGATCCAAATAATAGTTTGATGGTAAATCTTTACAATAACTTGAATTTTTCGTTAGACACTTCTAGCCATGCTCAGATCCAAGCCCAGTTACAAGCCCAGGCACAAGCTCAAGTGCAGGCTCAGGTACAGGCTCAGGTCCATGCTCAGGCTCAGGCTCAGGCTCAATTGACCTCCTCCTTCTCATCATCACAAAATCAAACCCGGAATCAGAATCAGAATCAAAATCAAAATCAAACATCTAGTTCGATTCAAGGAAATTCAATTAATATTCAGGCACCATCAATAAATTCTAGTACAAATAATATTAATAGTACAAATAATTATATTCAGACATCGATAAATGCATTGCAATCGTTTAATAACTTACCAACATCACGTATATCAATGCTTGATGGAACTGGTATTAATCAATTTGGACCCAAATTTATTCCAATATTTGCTCAGCCTGCCCAACCACATTTATTAACCCAACATAATTTATTTTTAGCCAATTTGAATCCAATAAATTACTTTACATTTCCAATGGTTAATATGCTTCAAGGGAATATTGGTGATTTGAATGTTAATGTGAATCCATCAATTTTAAATTTTGGGATTCCATTAGGAGTTGATTCTCACTATATGGATGAAAACAACTTCAATAATTATCAATTTCCTCAAACTAATTAATATCATCAAGAAAGAAAAAGAAATTGGATTTTACATTGAATTTACAATTGTATTATATTATATTTTTATTAAAGAAAAAAAAAAAGTTTAAAAAAATTTTACAAAAAGCACAGATAAATAAACAAAAAAAAATCAATAAAAAATCAGAAAAGCGAATGCTAACTAGGTCAACAATTGTTTTCAGTTACAAAGGGGATTCTTACTTTGGTTTTATTTTTCTATTTAGTTTTTATTTTATGTAATTGAAAAACATTTTGTTTCTTGTGAGATCATATTAAATTTTTTTTCATCAATGTTGTCCTGTTTTTGTTGAAAGCTTTATTTTTATTTTTATTTTATTTTATTTTATTTGTTTATTTTATTTTATTTGTTTATTTGTTGAATTGTTTAATTTTTTCGTTTTTTTTTAAATATATTTTACACCACATATTACATATTACTTCCTCCTTATTTCTTTATACATAATTATATGACTATATTTACATATAATCTTTGTTTTGTTTTACAATTTTCTAAATATTTTTTTTCTTTTTCCTTAACATTTTGTTGTGGTTTTAATCATTTCAATGATTCAATCTTAGCAATAATTGCAAATTCCAAAATTTTTCAGCATACATATTGATTTTATTTTGTTATTTTTTGTTTATTTATCGACGCTCATAAATAAATATTTTGATTTTCACATTTCCTGATATTTACAATTTCGCCGAAGGCCGAAGAAGCCTTTAAGGAACAATTGCAGGCAGCTCCAATACTTGCACTGATATTGAAGCGGTTTTATTAAGTTCAGGAATACAGGTATAGAAATAGGTGGTTAAATCTAAATGGAGCCGGATGTTGCGCTTGAAACAGGGCAAAGGCACGTTAGCTCACAGCGAAAGCTGGAGGAAAAAACAGGCTAGTGGCTGTAAAAGGTTGCACAACTGTGGGGGGTGTCGTCCCAGAGTAAGAGGAAGATCCCAGACCGCCTTTAATACCTGGTTTGGACCTAGAGAGAAGCGAAGATTGTTAGCAGATCAGCCCTTGGTGATACAACAGATGGTATTCTGTTGCTATTGATTCGTGGCCTGTAATTGTTGTTCAGATTTGCCAGACTTGACCAGCTTGCAAACGATAATCACTCGAAGTGATTGAGGTGATGGGAAGAGTGTGACGCAAAAAGTTGACTAAAAACAGATGATATCTTGTAGGCTATTGAAACTATTTTATCAGGATTTGTTCATTTTAAATTAGTGTATTCCGCCCAATTTCTAATTAAGTGATGTTTTATGCCTGTTACTTTTTTCGTCGATGGGCAATAGCTCGTTCAATTGACCCAACAAGAAACAAATGCATCTATATTGAGTTACGAAATCAATAAAAAGAAAGATCGGAAGCAGGAAAATAATGAGTGATTTCAGGATTGATAACTGCAAGGCATAAGGTTATATCATTTTTATTGCTGTGCAAGTGAAGGTTGAAACAAAGGTACTCAAACAAGGAAAAACAAAGTAAGCAGAAGACAACTTTCCAGTGATTCTTCTGAAATGCTAGACTACTGATACCATGGATGCCTTGGGTTTTCCAGCTTTCCTGAGCTTGCAAGTTCTGTGAATTTCTCGAGCTGTGTGGTGGTTTTATGAAATTTGGTCCTTGAGCTACTCGGGGAAGATTTTGCCATTTGCAACCTGAAAAAGGATTCCACACATGAATAACAGCCAGATGGAATGTCGTAAATGCTGCGATAATCGTGAGTATCGCATTTCACTTTGCATAATTGAAACGGTGGATTCTAATTGTGCTGCTTTGGAAATAGAAACCTTTGAAACCTGAGATTTTCGTCAGATCTCTCTGGTCTTTCTTTCCATGACTCTTGAATATTGGCATTTGGTTTCGGATTGTCGTGGATGACGCTTGGAAACAACATTAGGCTGGCGTCTGGCAAGATCCAGTTGGCTTTTTCAAAGCTACAGCTGCAATGAGCACGAGAATGGTTGTCCAACCGGACGGACGTGGAAAAACGTGCCACGAAGGGGTCGCCCCAAAACGTGCAGTCGTAAATGGTGCATTTCAAACACGGGCGCATCCCTCCGCGCACACAGCGGACATGGACACGGATTCACACGGTATTTCTCGAAAGTCAGCTGACCACTACCGGTCTGCCGATGGTGCAGAGATAACAGAGGCAGCTCAGTCAGAGCTCGGCTTTTGCTGCCTGTGCTTCTTTGTTCTGCTGCTATCAAGATGAAGGCCAGCTCGAAGCTTCTCGACGACTCTTCTGAACAGCCAGACGCTTTCCTTTTGAACAACGCTGATGGCAGTCTCAACGAGAGATCTGATTTTCTTTCTTCCCCTTTGGCCTCAAACGACGCAGTTAATTCTGATTCTTTAGCTGATTCAAGTGATAAGGAAAGCCAGGCCATAGTTTTCCAGTACAAGTTCATAAAGATAAACTTATTCCAACTAAGATACTACTCCTTCATCATAATTGGTGTATCGATATTGTGGCCATGGAATTGTTTTCTATCTGCCTCACAATACTATTCTTTTCGATTCTCTAACAGCAATCACCCAGTATTGGGAAAGATATACTCGTCTGTAATGATGTCAATCTCTACTATAACTTCTTTAATTTTCAATTTCATTTTATCCAATCTACAAAAGAATGCAAAATATTATAAAAGATTAATTATTGGAAATTTATTAAATTTTTTTATTTTCCTAATTTTAGCCATCACTTCCATATCCTTCTTGAACATCAACCAACTATTCTTCTTTAATATACTATTGTTCTTGATCATTTCGAGTGCAATTGGTGTGTGCTTTGAACAAAATGGTACTTTTTCAATCGCTAATGTTTTAGGCCCCATTTATGCTCAAGCTGTATTGGTCGGTCAAGCCATAGCTGGAGTATTACCTTCAATAACCTTAATCATTTCGACTTTATTGATCGACATAAAGAGCCTTGAAACTGATCAATCCACTGATAACGATGATAATCATCCAAATAAAGAAACTGAAAAAAACTATGGTGTTATGTTTTACTTTCTAACCGCAACTTTTATCTGCTTATTCGCCATCTTATCTTCTTATTTCTCAATAATAAAATTTCCTGTTTTTAATAAAGACCACAATTCAGATTACACTCCCTTGGAAAATACATCACTAATTAACAATACCATTGATGATGATGATAATAACAACACAACCTACAGTCAAAAGAAAAAAGTTCCTTTTATTTTGTTATGGAAAAAATTAAATTACATTTTTTCAACAATCGTAATCACTTTTTCAATATCTCTAGTCTTTCCAGTCTTTGCATCAAATATTGAAAGTTTTAATCAAAATAATAACTCAAAGCTCACAAATCCCAAAATTTTTATTCCGATAGCTTATTGCATTTGGAATGTCGGCGATTTATCTGGAAGAGTCCTTTCTGGCTATAAAACATTTCAATTGAATAACCAAAAATTCCTATTGATTTACTCAATTTTAAGGGTTTTTTTTATTCCAATTTTCTTTTTATGCAATATTAAAAAAAATCAAAACTTAAACAACTTCAAAGTTAAAAGCGACTTTTTTTATCTCTTGATTCAATTCTTATTCGGTTTCACCAATGGTCACTTGTGCTCAAATTGTTTTATGAATATTTCAACTAAATTCGATAATGACGATGAAAAAGAAGCTGCTGGTGGCTTCAGTACCGTTTTTTTAAGTATCGGATTAGCATCTGGTAGTTTATTTAGTTATGTATTCATTCCTTTAGTTAGTTAAATATCATCAAAATCACGAAAATCGCCAACCCCCTTAAAACAGAAACCTTTGAAAACAGCACATCGACATGGAAAGCAATTCCGGATCTGGAAATCCATTACCCGTTTTTTTATCGGCTTAAACTGTTCAATCGTTTTTCCCATATTAAAAATTACTAATGCTTTAATATAAATTTATCTACAATCAAGGACATCGCTTTTAATCAATCTTAATCTACTCTATTATCATCACATCCTCAATAGCACTGCCATAATCTCATCATAATCCCATCAAACTTGCCTCGAGAATGAACTACAGCACTCGCTCTTTAATATTCAAAACAATAAAGAGATCCAACTATTATAAAAATGCTTTTTCAAATTACATCTACAAGAGATCACTCGTTACTTACAAACTATCAAATACTCATTCGATGAGATCAACCATAATGAACAATCGATTATACACAACAACGATAAGCTCAAATTTGAATTCAAGCTCAAATAATATTGAAGTTGCCAATAAAAACTCGATACTGAATTCTGATAATCAAATTAATAACAATAATGAGGCCAATATTAACCAAAATAATAATAACAACAACGACAACAACAACAACAGTAATCCCATAGTCACTAAAAATAAAAAAAAGAACACTTTGTTTGAAGATATAGGTGATTTATTCCATGAAACTAAAATAATAAACCCAATACATGACGACTCAAATAAGTTATTAAAAGTTGGGATAACTCAACTTGCATCGAAAAAATTAAACGAAATCATGATAGCTGATAACTCGCCAAATTTGGCCTTGAAGATCAATGTTGAAAGTGGTGGTTGTCATGGATTCCAATATATATTGTCCTTGGTAAATTTAAAAGAAGAAAAATTGATTACAGAACAGAGTGATGTCAATGGCGATAATATGGAATTAGTTGATACCGAAAACTCAATATTTCTCAGAGATGGAGCAAAAGTAATAATCGATAAATCCAGTTTGGAAATTTTAAAAGAGTCCACTATTGATTATGTCCATGAGTTGATTGGAAGTCAATTCAAAGTCGTTGACAGTCCATATACAACTTCCAGCTGTGGTTGTGGATCAAGTTTTGACGTTGACTTTGAAAAACTTAGCAACGAATCATAAATATTTCAAAAGACAAAACACAGGTATCAAGGAAATTATGAAATTATAAGATTGCAGAAACATTAATGGCATTATTGGATTTGGTGAATCTGGTGAATCTGGTAAAATAGTTACCCATAACATTATATAGCACTAATAAATATTCTTCGGTTTTTATTTCGACGCCCTCGGAAATTAACCCAATCGCTGTATTTCGAGCACTGTATTCCGACTTGGTCTGGAGTCTGAAAATGTCTGAAGCAAAAAAAAAGTAATAAACAACCAACACCACAATGAACAGATAAATGGCCAAACTACTCGTCGATAACACTTTCAAGCTATATGAGGGAACAAACTTGTCAATTTTAAATCACTGTGATTTTGATATTAAGAATGAAGGCCAAGAGGGAAACTTCATAAGCAGTTTAAGAGATCTATTTGAGCCAATATTAATAGACATCATAAAGAATCAAGATGATTTCAGTTTACTTTCCAGTTCAGTGTTCAGCTATAATTATAAAATGAATTTGAATTTCAACGACGCAAGAACTAATAATCGAAACGACAGTGATCTTATTAATTGGGAAAATACGAAAAATCAAATAAAAATTTTGTTCAAACAAGAGGTTATCAATATGAATAGCGAATTTACCTCAAACGAACTATCTCAGATTTTTGGTCATCATAATAATAGAAGTAAAAAATTCATTATGAGCTATTTAGTTTTCAAGTTTCCCCAAAGAATTCGAATCAAAAATCAGCTATTTTTTTTTATTCAATCCAATTTCAAAGTTAATGATAAAAAAAAAGCAATTGTTTTGACTAAAACCACACTGAGAGAATTTAATGTATCGTTTTTAAAATGGACAGCAAAAAATTTAACTATAGATAAGGACAACTCCAATAGTAGAAAAAAAGAGAAAATGATTAAAACATATCAATTGAAGCCTTTTGAGATTGATTCTAAGTTTTTGAAAAGTTTGTTAAATGATATTCTAGATTATAATTTTATCCATCTCTATAACCAGAATAGTCAAAATAACAACCAGCTATATGAAAAGTTTGGAAACTTAGATATTGTGTATAAAACCCCAACAATTTCAAATGCCTTGAACAACATTACCATACAAATCTCACAAAAGGACTTGAAAGTGTTTGTGGATAATTATCGTCAGATAAGCAAGAAGAAAAACGACTTGAACATTCTCGAATCCATTTACAGCCATTTGAATTTCTACACAAGCATCTCCTTCAGTAAATTAAATATCATCAAATTATCGAACAACTACTTCACCATCCTCAACCACCCCAGCACTAGCAGTTCCAACAGCAACTCTACTAAAAACAACAAAACCATCGATTCCACCGACACACTGATCAGTTTCGAGGCACTCTGCAGAATCAGATTCAAAAACACATTTCCTCTTTCCTCTCAGGAAGCAGCAGAAGTAGAAGAAGCAGAAGCAGCAAAAACGTCAATCTCGGTTTTTAAGATTTTGTTTGCTATTTACGCCGGTTCCACGTGATCTAACTTACATTTTTGCTCGATTTTAGATTTAAATTTGATGTTTTTTTCTCTTTTTATCAGTTGTTTTGCAATTCTGTCTCTGTTTGTTCATAATCTGGTTGGGTTTTTTATATCACTAAGGCTATTCGAACTCCAAAATGCTCAAAATCACAGACTTACCTTTGGAAATCCAGCTCCAAATCATTTCTCAAGCCCCAGTGTTGAAATTAACAAGCACTTACTATTACATACTTTACCATCAACTTTATCAAAAGCATCTCATTAATGAGTTTTCTGTTGGAATCTTTAATATAATAAAAAACTCGTTGATTCCTTTGATTTCCTATATAAAATCTTTAGATTCTATTAGATTTTGTCAAAGGTCTCTTGTTGCAAGAGCTTTGAAATTATCAAGTTATGAAAGTCAGATACTTGGAAATAACAAGCGCAATAATGGAGAACCAGAGTTGGATATAACTCAAATCGAATTTATCTCTGATTCTTGGCCCATTATATATTCATTGCTAAAATCTCCTAAATTTTTTTTTGATATAAATGATTTTATTTCGATACAAAAATTTGATAACAATTTTACCTCGTTGAATTACAAATATCATCAATCCAAAAATATCATGTCTTTCAATCGAATTCATTCTTTTACTTTTCAAAAATCAATTTTTTTATCGAATGGTTATTACATCTTAAACCTCGCTGTATCTATAAAGAACTATAATTTCGGTTTAGGTACAATAAAATTTCAAATTTTCAATAAAATTGAATCAAATAATGATGATAATGATATTAAAAAATTAATATCAACTTTTTATCTATCGAATAACATTGATGAACTAATGCCTAAGAATAAGATTGTTGTATTAAACTTGGGAAAATTTAAAGTTGAAAATGATAATTTGAATCATTCATTAAATGAAATTTATATAGAAATGGAAGAAATTGGTTCAATGCCGATTCATGGAATAAATTTTTATTATTTTGATATTAAACCAATGAGTTCTCATATCTTTCAAAATTATTATGATTACAAGTATTTTAATTATAATTATTTTTATTGGTTTTTGAATGAAAACAAATTGAAATTCGATTTAAAAATTTTAGATAACGATGATCTATTCAATAATGATGAGACAAAAAAAGTTAAAAATGACAATAATAACGATTTCTCTAATGATAAAGATTACATGTTTAAGAATTATTATGAATTTGTGAATTTATTTGAAAAAAAAGCTTTGCAGGCTTTAGATCAAAATTTTCATAATTTTTTTTTAAGTAATAATGGTAGGGCATCAAATGGCATTTTAGATGATAGTACCTGTAATGATTCTTCTCATTCAAATGGAATAGTAAATGTTAAAAGCTGTAACAAAAAATTAAACAATGATAATGAAAATCTTGACGGTTTAATAATTCATAAAACAGATAATATTGAAGGTTTTTCATATGAAGAATTACAAACATATGGCAAAAATTTTTATCTTCCAAAGAATTTAAATAATCAGTCGGTGGAGAGGGATTTTAAATTTTTAACAATAATTCAACAAAGAGAGCATATAAAAAAAATTAAACTGCAACCTAATAAACTATCATATTTCAGAATACCACTTTATAAGAAGACAACATATGATTCTGAATCGTTTATTATATAGTTTATAGTTAACAGTTTACTGGGTTATACTAGAGAAAGGATGTTCTTCATTTTCTTTATCTTTAATGACAATTTAAATACAATTAAATAATAGGAATTAATACTAACGATAATAATAATAATAATAATAATAATAACAATAATAATAATAATAATAATAATAATAATAATAATAATAATAATAATAATAATAATAATAATAATAATAATGATAGAAATGTCAGTAGATTATAAGTTAATATATTGTGAATATCAAAATTCAAAATGGAGATAAATTGAAATTTCAGGAAATTTAATTTTTTGTTTTCAATTCGAGATTATATAAAGAAATTAACTGGAGTTTTAAATTGATTTGGATGAGTTTTTCTATAATGAATAGCATATAGAGATAGAAATAAAGCAAGAAGACATTGAAAGGAAGTTAAATAAAAAGTTGTATCATAACAAGAAGCACCTTTAGTGCAAATTTTTTGAGTGATTCCATGATGATTAATTATTTTGATAGAGTTTTTATCATAAATTTTTCCGAAAAGAGACGATATTGATAGAACGATAAAGAAAGCGCCAGTTGTCATTGTCCCCCAAATAGTTGTGAATTTACTGTTTGGACCAGAATTAAAATATTCTGCGATAATGCAAGGATAAGTTGCGAAGGTTATACCAAAGGCTAGGCCAGTTAGTATACTGGTATAAGTTAAGAGATCTAAATTGTTGATAAAAGTTAATAAATACTGGGATAATAGCATTAAGATTGAGGAGAAAACTATGTTCCAGAGTCTTTGCAATTTAAAATAGTAATATAATTTATCAGATACAAAGCCTGCAGATAGTTTGCCGAAGAATATTGAAATGGCTAAGATTGATACTTGTAGGGCTTGAGTTTGTTGTTGGTTTAAAGAAGAAGTATTGATGTTAATATTATTATAATTTAAAGAATCGAATTGAGCGTTGATGATAAAGCCTATTAGAATGATGTAGGTTTGGCCAGTTGAATGAAGAAAAGCCAAGATGAAGTAATTAATCAAGAATAATTTGGAGGTGAGGATTTTATATAAGTGAGAATTTCTGAAATTTTTTTTAGTAGTGTTATCGGTGATGTTAGATTCGTTGTTGTTTAATTCTAAAGTTGTTAAATATTGTAAGGAATTTTTTTTCTTTGAGGATAATAAAGAAGTGTGTTGGTTTTGAATTTGAACTTGTGCTTGTGCTTGTGCTTGTGTTTGTTGATATAATAATGGAGAAGGTAATAATCTCATGAAGAAAATCCCTTGAAAAGTGAAGATTGGACAAAAAATGGATAAAAATACTAATAATAATTGAGGGTTGTTGTTTAATAGTTTTGTTGATATTAGACTAAAAATTGAAGGAGATAAACCAAAACAAGAGAAACAAATGCCACTAAGGGTGGCTCTATGTTTGTTGAAATTTGAGGTGCAACATTTTGTTGAAGAGTAAAGAGCAGCTATTGAACTTAAACCTATGATTAGAAGCGAGAAGGTTAATAAGAATAAATTTGATGAAGAAGATTTGAAGGAGTAGTATAGGAGGAAATAACCAAGGAAGAAGTTTAGAGAAGATAGGAATAAAGCGAATTCTGTACCAAGATTATCTATTAGTATACCTAGTGGTAGACCACCTAGAGACATTCCTAGAGTTAAAGCTATTCCTAAAGTTGAAGCTTGTTTGGGGGATAGGTTACATTTTGAGATCAATTGTGGAGCATAGGAGGAGTAGAAATTTGCTGAGCCAGCTATGAAAGCAGCAAAACAAGAGGATATGAAGGAAGTTGATTTTTTAGGTTTTGGGAGATAATTTTGGATGTTTAGCATTTTTCTCAATTTATAACAGGTTGATCAGAGGTTAATCAGAGGTTAATCAGAGGTTGATAAGACGATTGTATCAAAATTGAAAATGACAATGAAAATGAAAATGAAAATAAAAGTAAAATCGATATTTTAGTGTTTATTTATAAAAATTGGCTAAAAAATAAATATATAAATTAAACAATAGAGTTTATAGACTATAGAGATTATGTAAGATGAGAATCAAACGGTTTTCCATGAATAACGTGAAAGAAAGCAGATGAAACTCGCAAATAGCAGAAAAAAAGAACAAAAGAATGCGATAAAGACAGATAGAGATGCTAATTAAATAGGCTAGTTGGACTGGAAGTAATAGCAAAAAGAAGAAAGAGCAGATCTTAGCTTATTTCGCATATAGATGTATAATTAAGAACCCAAACTGCTATTATTTCAATATTTTGATTTGAGATGTGCTTGCTTATCTGAAAAATAAGGTTTGGAGATAAAAAGATAGGATCACGTTTCTGCGCTAGTGTGAGGAGGTCGGAAGTGCTGCAAGCAACCGGTAGAGGTCGGAAATAGCCAGAGATGAAATCATCCTACGCTTATCAACAGAGAAAAACAGGCGCATTTGATCGAGAAAAACAAGCGAAAAAGAGGAAAAAGAAGGAGAGTCAGTGAAAGGGTATTAGGAGGTGTGTGCTATGCGGATAAACGCACCTGTGCTGTACAGAATGCGTTGATAAGCATATTGTGTTTTGATCCATTGTTGTGGTAACGTCATTTCAGCAGAGCCACGAATGGGCGCGCGCGGATTGGCTCCGTCTGACCAATCACCGGCCGTTCTGTTGGCCGTCTTATGGCCGTTTGAACCGTATTTCTGGATCGACGCGCACCGGAAGCGGGAGCGGGACGGCACTGCATAGCTGCGAGCCGACGCGGTGATTTTTTAGGAAAAGCGCTGAGATGGCGGGAGAGGAGAGAGAAAGAGAGGAAGCGTAAGCAGAAGCAGCAGAAGTAGAGGAAGAAGAAGAAGAAGAAGAAGAAGAAGAAGGAGAAGAAGGAGAAGAAGGAGAAGGAGGAGAAGGAGGAGAAGAAGTAGAAGAAGAAGTAGAAGAAGCAGAACAAAAGAAGAGAAAGAGCGCAGGGCTGAATCACACGCAAAGGACAGGCAGAGAAAGAAAAAAGATTCCAGCTGCATTCAGAATCATTTTTATTCCAGTTCAGATTGTGTTGATGCGAAAGTGCAACACTCGATATCAGACACATTACATTAAGCTTCTGCGAAATTTATTGATATTATAAATATCCTTCAAAGAAAACTGCTTTATTTGTTTTTGTTTTATTCACCTTCTTCGCTTTATTCCATAAACTCGTTTTGCTTTTTAGCTGCTTCGCTTTGTTGCTTTTATAAAAGCGACTTATCACTCTGATTATTCTATTCCACTACTCTTTTCCTTTTAAGGGTTTCCTTTGGTTTTAATCGCTAACAGGTTCATCAACCATCCAAGGTGATTAATAATAGCAAAAATACCAAGATATTATCAATACGCTTCCAGTATCTCATCAGTATCTCATTAGCATCTCATCAACATCTCTTCAACATCTCCAACATTTCCTCCAATTTTTATCTATTATCTTGATTAGTTTTTCCTTAAAGGCCCCAAGCCTTCTTTATACCATACTAATTTTCTATTTTACTGCAATTTTTTCTTCCCATCTCAAACTATAATTTCTTCGCCCAAATACACTTGATTCTTCCTATATTCAATACTTCTACTTCAATATTCCCTATTTTTTTTTGATCAACTCATATTCTATCTTGCACTATCATCCAATACTATTTACCATCTTATACTATCACCCACTCTCGCCTATTACTCTTTTACACTATCCTCTCGCACTAATTTCTCCTCTCAGCACTCTTCAAACTCTCTTATTTAAAGTTTTCCTCGCACTAAAAAAGCAATTCTATTATTCCATAGCTCAGTCTACGATCTCTATCTCTATCTCTATCTTGATCTCCATTCTATCTCTATTCTATCTCCATCATATTTCAATTAATCCACCAGTCCATAACTCCAAATAACCTCTCCCTCTTGTATCTACATAGATTGATACTTGCTCTCATAATGCCTCTAATAAAAAAAATATTTCACTCACATAAAGATAAATTCGATACAAACAATGTCAACGAAACAATATCAAAAAAAGAAAAAAAAGACAAAGACAAAGACAAAAAAGAGAAAAGAAAATCCCTTTCTTTTATATCGAAATCTCACAGAAACTCTGTGTCTTCTTTATCTTCAATAAACTCTTCCTCTTCATCTACTGCCACTTCCTCAAATCGTATTTTAAATAAAAGAGCAACCATCAATACCATAGACAATTTCAAAAAAAATCAAAGCAATTTAAGGTTTCTCAATAACGTTACTCCAAGTCCTCCAAATAACCAAATAAAATCTTCAAAATCCTTTTCAAATGTATATCCAAATTCAATTTCAAACACCATTCCTAATAACACCATTCCCAACGACACTCCTAATAACATCCCTACTAATGATACTAATTTAATCCAAGAAAACAAAAAATCTTCCTATTTAAATCATCATAAATCAATTAGCATAGGTACCTTATCTCATAAAAACAACATCTCTCCCTCAAATGGCCTCTTGATTCATTCTCCCGGCGGTATCAATAAAATGCATCTATTAAATGACAACCCTCAACAAATAAACAACTCCATCATCAATAATAATAATACAATTCAAAAAGATAAAATCGATAAATCTCATCCCAATCAAAATAACCACTTGGTCTCAGATACACCATCTTCAATTCCGAATGATAGCGGTTTACCTTCAATCAATAAAGCTAATAACATTTATTACGCCCCATTTCAAGTCCAGGTCAAAACTTATTCTCACATCTCCGGCGATTTATCTCAGCAATTAACTACAAAACCTTCCTACGGCTTACCTTCTGTTGATTCGGTTCAAAGAAAACAAACCCTAAGAAATTCAATCTATTCTTTTCATACTTCAACAAATTTTAGCACAAATACTAACCAACAACTCAATTCCTTTTATTCATCTGACAACAACTCCTCATCCAATGGTCCAAATATCCTCCCAAATCCCATCGAAGACCCAAATAACTATCTACCACAAAATCTACAACAAGACTTTCAAGTAATGACTGATAAATACCAATTTCCTGATAATAATATCAACAATTCTAAAAATCTCGGTGATGGTGCAAGCGCTTCCGTGAGATCGGTTATAAGCAAATCAAACAAAAAAGTTTATGCCCTTAAGAAATTCCTCCTATTCAAACATGAAAAACCTGAACATTTTTATAACAGATGCTCAAAGGAATTCATCATAGCTCATATTGCCTCTCAAAATAAACACGTTGTTTCAACTATCGCTCTAGTCAAAGTTTCAACAACCACCCAAATTTCCAGAGGTTGGGCATTTATTCTAGAATATTGCAGAAATGGTGATTTGTACAACTTGATAGTTCAAAAGGGTTTTGCTAATCAAAAGGAAGATTTGAAATATTGCTTATTTAAACAAATCTCTTTGGGTCTAAAATTCCTACACAATTTAGATATCGTTCATCGTGATTTAAAACCTGAAAATATCCTATTAGATGAAAACGGAATCTGTAAAATTACTGATTTTGGTGTTTCTGATTTTGGCCATGAAATTCCTGGCGATTTTTCCTCGGGCGTTAAATTATCCACATCATTCGTCGGTTCGCCTCCTTATTATCCTCCTGAAGTATTGTATTTCAAAAATTACAAACAAAGCAAAAAGGAGACTCCTCCAAAATATGATCCATTCAAAATGGATTGTTGGTCATTAGGTATGATCATGTTTGCAATTGTTTACAGAAGAACGCCATTTAAAGAACCAAGCGCTGAAGATGTCCAATATAGGGATTATGTTTCAGCTTATCGTAGTTTCCTAAAGATAAATAGTGGTTTCAAGACTAACCCTGAAGCAAGAGGTCCAGGTATTGATTATAAATTTGGTGGAGGCTTTAAGAATTCTCAAGCATCAAGGGTTGCATGGAGACTAGTTGATCCAAATCCCGATGAAAGAATGACATTAGATGAATTGTTTAGAGACAATTGGTTTGTTAACCTTGAAATGTGTTGTACTGAAGATAATTGCGATTATAATCATGAATTATACGAAATCAGTAAAGATCAAAACAAATTTATTGAATATTTACCAATTCGTAAACATTTTGACGCTATTGATGATAAATCAATCAAAAAACAAGCAGAACATACCGTAATAACCAATAACAGTTCTGATATTAATCCTGTAACATCATTGAAATCATCCACATCATCTAACTCATTGTTTGATTTGAAAAATCATATTAGTTCAACAGAGCAAGTTTCCCCTGTGTCGGTTCCATCAATGGTAAATAGTCCCAAACTATCTGCATCCAGCCAAATTGGCCTTTCATTAACATCGGTCATCGAAGAAGGTAACGGAGTAAATGAGGAAGAATTACAAGAGCCGGAAACACTTGATTTGAGCGCTCCAGCAATAGCATTAAGTAATTCATCAACAAGCTTAAATTCCAATGGAACAAAAATGCGTCGTGCTAATAGCAGTAGCTTTGATAAGAATAGATTATCTATACCTGAACACATCACTGAAATGGATGATGAAGATGAGGAAAAACATAATGGAAATGAAAAGACAAAGATTGGTAAACAAAAAACTGAAAAGAAGAATGAAAAAGAAGATAATGAAAGTGATAGCGATCGATTGTCAGTAAATGAAGATTTTAAAGATGCATCGGAATCGCCTAGTAGCAGTTCTTTTATTAATTTTACGGTTTCGCCATCATTTCAATCATTAAAATCCGGTCCAATTTCCGGAAATGGAACAGGATACAAGAAGACTGGAGGAACCCAGTTATCGATGATTCCACAAGATATTCTAAATAATGTTCCGGCACATAAATCTGCTGCAAGAGAATCTAATAATAGTTTGGTTAATGAATATTCTAATGGATCAATGTCAAGGTTATCAATGATAAGTCCTAATAAGTTAAGCAGTATTAGTGGAGATAGCAGCTCAATGATTTTTGCAAATAAATCTGCCAATGGGATAAATAAATTGGGCAATGGATTTATTAATCTTGCACCATCATTTGATGAAGATAATAGCAAATCAAAGGAGAAAGAAAAAAATGACAAGAACAGCAGCAGTGGAAAAGCCAATGATGTGTGTTTAAAGGATGATTGTGCTTACTGTAAAGGTAGGATAAGAAAGCATATGCATAGCGATGTTATTAATACACCTACAATGGGATTAAATGGATATGGGAAATCAAATAGTTATCAAGGTCGATTTCATATGAGATGATTGTGATTTTAAATTGTTTTAAATTGTTTTAAATTTTTTTAATTTTTTTGTTAGTTTTAGTATGTAAGTGTATTTTGATATAATTTTTACTTTCTTTTAGATATTTATATAATAATTAATATTCTTTGATTTTTGTTGTGTTCAATAAGTTGCGCAGTGTTCTTGCGCGCAAGATAATCTGTAGATAAAAGTTTTTTTTAGCCGAGGGTTGCTTAAATTGCACGGGTGGGAATTATAAGCGAGTGTTTTGAGATTTTGAGCGGTTTTAACTATTTTGAATAAATTGGGTGAATAAAAAAAAGAGAAAGTATAGTATGTATTATTTGTGACATTATAATAAGAATATAGTATTAGAAATGAATAAAAGTTATGGGGTAGTTTATAATTATTTGGAAGCACTAAAAAGAAAAAATATTAGAAAGAGAATTGGACATAACAGATAAAGGAAAAACGTAAAAAAATATAAACGAACATAAAAAAAACTATAAAGAGAAAGAAAGGAAAAGAAAGGAAGGAAAAGAAAGGAAAAGATTGGATAGTGTAATATAAGATAAAACCAGCTTTTAAGGTAATATGAAATTGATATAATAGGATAAATAAATTTAAGTAAATTTAAGCAAATTTAAGCAAATTTAGATAAATTATAATTAATTAATTAATTATTAATTGATAATAAGAATATCAAGAATAAAATTTAGATAAAATAGAAAAGAAGTTATTAGGGGGAATATTAAACTTTTGGAGCATGAGGCATTGGTAAAGCTCTTAGTACAAAGTAAGAGTTATCTTTTTCAGCAACACCAGCATAAGTATGGTAAAAACCAAATAAAGCAGCTATAACACCCAAGACACCACCGGCTTTAGTCAAACCGACAGATTGAGTAAATTCAGCAATACATAAGATTAGGATAAAGAACCAGATAAAGAAGAACATTAAAAAGAAGGCCCAAGTAGATTTAAAAGTGCACAACCACATCAAGAATGCGAAAAGCACCCAACCAAACAAGAAGAAACCAAGAGCGTTATGTAATTCATCTGCAGTTGAATAAGAGGAGGTGATAGCAAAGGAATCAGATAAGATGGCGCCATAGCTTAACCAGAAGCCACCAAAGGCACCTAAAACACAACAGGCAAAAGTGTTTTCAACCACAAAACATAGCAAGCCGGCAAATAATTCAATTGCACCGCCATAAAAGAAGAAAGAGCCTATAAGGACGTTTGGATTTGTGACGCTTCTAGCCTGACAGTTGATTAAAGAGAGAACCAAAGTGCAGAAAGAAAAACTCGACAAGCCTAAAGGAACAGGGTTGGCGTATCTGTGAACAGATGGGGCATGTAGCTTGGGGTTTAAATCTCCACCAAAGGCGTTGATAAGTTCGTGCTTATGGAAAGCTTGGTCACCAAGATATACAATATTACCTTCACTGGTGACTTTTGTAACATTACCATTAGCGAGGTTGTTTTCAATGTGGTTTGGGGAATAAGGCTTTGGAGCACTGGAGGCTCCAGAGGCATAGCCCTTTTCGAGATCCAAAGGAAAATGGTTTTCAGGTGCAGACATTGTGATCAGGAATATGGAATATGGAATATGGAATATGAAATATCGGCAGAAGCAGAAGCAGAAGCAGAGAGCAGAAGAGAATATCGAGCGAGGACAGAAGATGAAACTCGAATACCTAAAAGAGTGATTCTGAGAAAGTGCTGAGATACAGAGCAAGAGAAACAGAAGCACAGAGGATATATGACATATTTATAGCATATTTACAACCCATTTTTAACACATCTCCAGCGTTTTTCCACCCTCGTAGCAGCGTTTTTCGAACAGCAGCAAAACTCGCATTTCCACCACAACGGCGCTTCATTGGCCTGAGCTGGAACAGCTTTTGCTCAAGTCTTGATTCTGTTCAGGAACACCGCTCGGAGCTCGACAACAGGGCTCGGACTTGTGTCATCCAAGCAGCAGTGCGGAGTCCGCGCTGCACTTCGCCAACGCTTATTCCAGAACTGGGACTATCCTGGGCTTTTCGTCGATGCAGCCCGGCTATCGCTGGACGCAGCACGTGTGGGCACTCTTCTAACACAACGCATTTGTTTGGTTTGGGGTTTTCTGCTGTTCCCCACCACGCTGCCGAACAGCCAGAGCCGTTCGGCAGGCCTGCACAACGCTCGCTACCAGAGCTCACCGCAGCGCTGGTGCTGTTTCTGCTGCCGCTGCTTCCTCTGGGACACAGAGTCGGCGCTGGTGCTGCCGCTGCTTCTCGGGTTGTGTGTGTGTTTGGAGCCTGGTGTGGCGAGGATGGGCTGGCTCGGCCGGCCAATCACAGCACGGCTGAGGTCGAGGTGCAAAAACGAACCCCTTCTCAATGCCTGTTTCTGTTTAGACTGAAATAACCTTTAAATAGCTTTTTCAAAGTTTGCAAAGAGCTTTTCATAATGCCAATTGAGCTTTTATGAAAGACCTTTCTCTTTTGTTCTTCAAAACTCTTACTTTTTGGTTCTTTTTGCGGGTTCCTTCAGCTCTGATGCAATCAGCAAACAAATAATTCCCACTGCCCAAACCAAGTCTCAAATATTTTGCTTTTACTCGAGAAATTCTCCATTAACTCAAAATAGCAACGAGATTTCCTAGTGCAAAGGTAATTCAAGTTATATCACTTGATTTTTATTCATTTTCTCTATTTACTTGCTTGCAAACTTTCTTAAATCTCTTTCCCGCCTTTCAACCATTTAACCACCACAATTTGATTTTCGTCTTAATATTTTGTAAAGTGCTTGAACTGGTTGGTTTGTATTCATGATTTTTTTGGTTTTGGTTTATCACAACAAAGTTTTTGAAATAAAAGGATAACAGGTATGAGAAAATTGAAGGAACTAGAATTATGACAGTCATTAATATTCTTATTTTCAATTTTATCCTCTTTATACCATTTATTTTTCTAATAGTGCTCTTATCTTTTTCTTCATTCTCAAAACACACAGAAAACTAATAGCCTCATCTTCTTTTTCAGCTGTCTTTTTTCCAATTTATTCAATATTCAGTTTATTTAATTTATTCAGTTTTAATTAATTTGATTTATTTAAATTTTCTTTGCTTTTCTTTCTTTTACTAACTCCCCTTCTCTTTTTTCGTGTCTTTTTTTCATTTTTATTCTCATTTACCTTAATCAAGTCAAGTAATTTATTTTCCATCCATTTAACCTCTTCCATTTTTTCATTTTCAATCAATTCAATTTTTTCTTTAGTTTTCCCATTTCCATTTCCATTTCCATTTTCATCTTCAATTAATCCAGTTAGATAATCTTTGAAATCAAAAATCGTGCAACCATTATGAATATTTGCACTGTTATTCCTATTATTACTTCCATTTTCTTTAACCATTTTCTTTAACCATTAACAATTAACAATTAAATTAATTCAATTCAGTCTTTGGTAAAGAAGAATAAAAATAAAAATAAAAATAAAAATAAAAATAAAAATAAAACATACTATTATTTATACCAGTCCTTTAAATATTTATATATATATATTTTTTTTTGCTTTAAAACTTTCCTAAAATGTCGAATTCTTTCTCTTTTTTTTAAAATTTTTCTCTTTTTTTAATATTTCTCTTTTTATTCTTTTTTTAACCAATACCCTTTATCATATCAATGTTATTCATTAAAACTGTCTAATTTAATTAGAATACAATCCATTTGAAATTTCTATTAGAGAAAAGAACAAAAAAGAACAAAAAAGAACAGAAAAAAACAGAAAAGAAAAGCAAAAAAAAAACAGCATTTAGAATTCTAAATTAATAATCAATTAATAATTAATAACTAATAATTAATAAATCAATTATGTTCAATCACAATTTGATAATCATTGTTATTATAATCAAACTTTTCACACGTTTCTAGTATAAACGCTTTTTAATTAGTCAAAATGACTGTATCAAACATCATATCAGTGTTTTTCTAAACTATATGTATATGTATATGTATATTTATTTTGATTTTAATCAATAGCAAAAGACAACTGCCTTCTTATTCACTTATTATATAAACAATGAAATCCGAATAATGTCATCTGAATTACCAACTTATTTAATCTGAGAATTCCGTATAAAAGGAAATAGAATCTCCAGCAATTGAGAAGGATAGAAAGTCTAGAATGGGTATGCTAATACGTGAAATACCAGAGAGTATCAGTGCTAAGCATTACCTCTCCATCTTCTATATACATCATGATGATAGAGAAGTGTCATCTTTCTTGATGGTTCTTCAATAACTCTTGATGGCGTTTGCAACGATAAACATTGTACGAAAAGTGGAAAAAGGCAGGCGAAAGTGGAAGTGTGGACGATGAGCAAAGGATCAATGACTTAAGCTCACCAGAACCAGCTATTTCTTCTCTTCCCCCTTTTCCTTTTTATCATCATCATCATCTTCTTCTTCTTCTTTATCTTCAAAATGGTCAGAGTAGCAGTGGGCCAGTTGTCCTCCACCTCGTCGTTATCCACCAATGTCAAAGCTGTGCTTTCGTTGATTCACAGAGCACTGTCTGTGGGTGCTGAGATCTTGTTTCTTCCTGAGGCCTCAGACTACATTTCTCGAGACGCAAAACACTCGTTGAAGATAGCCAGGTCGATTGAGGACTCTGTTTTTGTCAAAAGAATAGGCCTTGAGCTCCAGAGCCTTGACACAAAGCACAGGTCGCTAGAGGTGTGTGTGGGAGTCCACGAACCTAACAATGTTCTTCACGCCCAGCAGTTGAAAAGCAAAGAAAACAAAGAAAGCAAAGAAAGCAAAGAAAACAAAGAAAGCAAAGATAATGGCACTCCTAAAGTCAAAAACACATTGCTCTACTTCAGTAAAGCAGGCAGAATCGTCTCCAGCTACCAGAAGCTCCATCTCTACGACGTGAACATCACCAATGGCCCCATCATGAAGGAGTCCAACTCAGTTGAAAGAGGTGCATTCATCCATCAGCCCTTTCAGAGTGCAGCAGGAGTATTGGGCCTAGGTATCTGCTACGATGTTCGATTCCCTGAATTGGCCCTCAAGTTGAGATCCAGAGGAGCTCAGATCTTGACCTTTCCCTCAGCGTTCAACACCAAGACAGGAGCAGCTCACTGGGAGCTTTTGGGCAGGGCCAGGGCCATCGACACCCAGTGTTTTGTTGTGATGCCAGCGCAAAAGGGGAAACACAATGTCAACATCGAAGACGACGACGAGGGCAATGTCGTTGCAGTTGAGCCCACAGGAAAGAAGATCACCAGAGTCAGCTACGGTCATTCTTGCATCATCGACCCCTGGGGCACTGTGTTGGCCCAATGCTCTGATGTGAATTACAACAATGACGAGCCTGATTTGTGTGTTGCAGACGTCGACCTTGCTGCATTGAAGAAGGTGAGAGAGGACATTCCTCTCTGGGACCACAGAAGAACAGATATCTTTGGCGAGTATTTGTTCAACGACAGCTGAAATATACCAAGCATGTTTTAGTTTGATTAAAGTAGATCAATTAGATTAGATTACATTAGATTAAATTAGATTAGATTAGATTAGATTCGATTTGATTCGATTAACATTACACCAACTTTAATTGATTTAACTTGTCTAACTTAAAAATTAATTTATTATATTGCTTTCTCTTTCAAGACATTGCCGCCCCTTTATAATGAAATTTTTATTTTCTTGTATTTTTCACTCCATCCATATGTCTTTCAATTTCAATTTGACACTTCTCACTATCTTATCCAGCTATTATACCACCAGCAATGTCCTTAGCTAGCAAAACGAAAAATGTTCTGTTTCCTAAGATTGCCTCTCGCTCTCTTTGTATTTATGACTTACCCATCGACATAATCATTCAAATTCTTTCACTTTTAGACCCTGATACTTTAGATACCATTGGGCTAATTGATTCCTTTTTTAACGATTTAGTAATTAACAACAGAATTTGGTTCAATATGTTTAAGTATAATTTTTCAATTAGAAATTCTTTATTAAACCAAAAGATATATAATATCAGCCAAAAGATTCCTGCAAACAATAAAAAAAAATTATTATTGCAAAATGAACTAAATCAAAATTTAATTGATTCAAATTATAAAATATTATTCAGGTTTCCAAGTTTATCAAATTCAGTTTATTGGAAATTTGAATATTTAATTAGAAACCAATTTATAAATGAATTTTTAAAGAAAAAAAATTTCAAGAAAAATAATAAATTATCAAAATCTTCAAAAAAATTCCTTTTAAACAAATCTCCAAATTTGTTGGTCTCATCATATAAGATTAATAATAATGATAATATTGATAACATTTATTGTGATTTCAATAATGATATTCTACATCTATTCAGTTCCAGAAGTTATAATTTAAATACTTTAACATTAAGACAAGGGAAATCAAATTATTTACAAAATTGTTTATTAAGAAATATTAATAACAATACAATTAACTACAACCATAATAATATTATTAACAACAATATTGATGATATTGACAATGATTTAAACGAAAACGAAAATGAAAATGAAAATGAAAATGATAATGAAAATGAGAATGAAAATTTAATTACTTGTTTTAAAATGAGTAAGAATTACTTATTAATTTGTAATTATTATGGTAGAATCTATTTAAAAAATTATTACAAGTTGAATGAGAGAAATTTGAATTTTAGTTATAAAAATTTTGATTATTTTAAACTTTGCGAGCACTTAAATAAGATCCCGATAACAAGTGTTAAAATCAATCAATTATCAAAATTCAATTATAAAAAATCTAAAAATTTAATCAATAATAATAACACTTATAATGAGAGTAAATTTATTGATTTCATTTCAGGTGATTACCTTGGTAATGTCTATCTTTGGGGAATAAATGAATTGAAGAATAATAGAATTTTACTAAAATTTAATATTAATGACAAACTTGATTTCAATACAATGATTAATGAATATAATGATAATCATAAAGATAAAGAAAAACAAAAAAAGAAACAAAAATTTTATCCAATTTTAAAGATTGAAAGTAATTTTAAAAGATATGTTATAATTGAATCGATTAATCTATGCTTATTTTTGATTGAATTAATTCCTACTAATTATACGGCAGAGAATGGGAATTTTTATGATTATAGTATTAGGATGATTAATAAAGAAGAATTAGACCTCAAGATTAATCCAAATGTTATAAAATTAAATTATGATGATATTAATAATGATAACAATGATAATAACGATAATATTGATAATAATTATACATATTCAAGTGTATTAAAATTAGTAAGAGGAAAAGAGAAAAAACTTCAAACATTTTTAAAAGTTGATTATAATGCTAGAAAGATAATTTATTGTTTTGAAGATAATATATTGATTAAACATTTTAGTAAAGAGAAAAAATCTTATTTTATGGATTGTAAATTAAAAGATGATGATTTGAGCGTAAAAGAATATATAATTCAGGTGAAGATAATTAATAATTATGACAATGGTTATGAGAATGGTAAAATAGCAGGAGAAAATAGTGGTTTAATTGGGATATTGTTTAATACGGGGAAGATATTGATCAGTGGAATTAACAATGATCACTATAATTATCATTATAATGATCAGAATAATAATAATAATAATAATGATAATAATGATGAAAGTGAGGATCCATTAATTATAAAAGTGTATCCAAATTATTTAAATGATAATTCCCGATTTAATAACGATATAAAATTGATTCCAATTACTAGAATTGATTTCAATAAATTGATTTTAGTTGCCAGTTCATATAATGGGAATTTTTTAATAATTAATATTTTAAATGGAGAAATTTTGAAGGAGATTAACAATAAAATTGATAGAAAACTATTGAATGATAATTTTAATAACGAGGTTAACAATGGGATTAATAATGGTATTGAAGATTCATTAATTGCTACTACATGTATCAAATTGAATGAGTTTAAGTTTTCGATTAATGAGGAAGATAAAGAAAATGAGAAAAAATACCTTATTAATGGAATTATCGTTTTAAATAATATAGTTGAGTATTTCCAAATTTCGTTTAATAACTCATTTAACAATTTGTCGAATTTTAGTAAAAACAATCTTAATAAGAAGAATGGGGTTGGTAAAAAATTGAATCAAAGAAGGATAAACAATTTCAATGAGTTTGAACAATTGGAAGAGATGAAGGAATACCACCATGATGAGATGAAGAAACGAGAGTTGGTCAACAAAATCTACAAGATGAATGGGATAGGGCACGACGAGGAGTTGGACGAAAACGAGCAGCTCAGATTGGCGATAGCCATGAGTGAAAGTCTCCAGTTGCAAGAAAAGTTGAATGGTGGAAATGGTGAAAGTGGTGGATATGGCACAGATCAAAAACACGATCAGAGCTCGAAGAAGTTCGAGAGAGACTACGAAGCGGAAATGATTGAACGGGCAATCGCTCTTTCGATTCTAGAGTCGAACAACCCGCGGAATACGCACGAGATATACGATCCCACGCATTTCGAGGGGACTTCCGGCGATCACGGCGGCTATGACGACATTGATGCCGAAGACGACGAAGAACGGCAGCTCCAACGGGTGCTTGCGTTGAGCCGTCGGGAGCAGTGAGCCAAGGGTTAGCCGAGGGCTATCCGGTGCTGAGGTATTTTTGCAGGCATTTTGTGGGTGATCCGGCAAAACAACAGCAGTTTTTGGCGCCAAAAGCACCAGAAGTGAGCAATTGTGTGTCATCTATGGACTTGCAAGTGATGCTTTTTCGAAAGGTACTAGTTCTTCTCTAGCTCGATCGTGGGCCTGGGGCTGCGTTTGAATTGCCCCCCATTGCCCTTTTAGTCCCAGCTGGGGATGGAGATAAGCTGCAGAAAGAGGAGATTGACACATCCAACATCTGACAGCGTTTCACTGATAAGGCCCTTCAGAAACCATATAAAAAGCCCACTTTCGCCCTCTTTCCTTTCTTTTGTTTCTCTCCAACTCTTTAGCACTCTCTCTATATCTCTTACATTCTTCTGTTGCTCTCACAATGTCTATGATCAGAACTTTACAACACTCTAATGATATCATCACTATCTTGTATGTCTCGGTTCCTTGTTATTCTCGGTTATGTCATATCACCTTGCAAGCTGACTAACTTACTAACTTACTAATTTACTAACTCTCTATAAAGCCATTCTACCCAAAATTTGAAATCAATTCAATTGTTGAAAACTCTAAGAAAATACCAATTTGCTCATCCTAATGCTCAAAGGTCTTACAATAAAAAGATCTTTTTCGGTTTGTTTACCAGGAAAATCTCGAATGATGACCATGAAAAGACAAGATATGATTTGGATATCAAATCCGATTTCATTCCAACTTTTGATCAATTAACTTCGATCTATAACACAATTCAAATTAATACAATGTGCAAAAAAACTTTTATAACCTCATTCCCTTTTTTAATCAAAGATCATCCTCACTTGAGTAACATCAAAATTAACGATATTAATGATAAAAATATTTATAAAATTAAAGTCTCTGATATTGTTTTGCCAAAGAGAAACGAATACAACTATTTAATATCAAACAACTCCTTTGATGACTTGGTTAAACAAAATTATTTCAATCCTCCTTTGGTTGTCGATTGGACAAACAATTTAATTTGCTCAAACAAAGAAGACTTTAAATCAAAAATCTTAAATCATTATCAAAATCACTATTTAGATGATGAACTTGTTAAACTCGCAGACTAATGATCAGTCTTCTCAAATCTATTTTTAAAAACATTTCAGCAAACCAATTTATTGTTTTGCTATAAACTTCCTATAACTATAATTATTTATATTATATTCTCTTATTAACTATTCTGACAATATTCTTTAATTTTCTTACTTCATCTTAACTTATCCTCTTTTTTTTCTTTTATATACATATAATTTTTTTTATTAAAATCGTTATATAATTATAAACTAAATTATAAAGGTCAAAACCTTGATAAATAAATAAATAAATAAATACACACATATAAAATTAACTAATAAATATTAAATATAGCTAAAAAATAATTAAATATATTAATCGTAAGATAGAATAGGACAAAATAGAATAGAATAGGACACATATAAAAATAAATAGAATAGAATAGGACACATATAAAAATAAATAAAACAAAAAGCAAAAACAAAAATCGAATATTTTATTGAAATGAACTTCTTAGCATCAGTATTGATATTAATATTAATACTTTCTTAGATTTAATGCACCTTCTTTATACAACCTTTCAATATCCCCTTTAAACTCTTTCTTGCAACTAAATCTTTTAATCTTTAACGTAGGTGTTAAACAATCATTATCAATTGTCATTGGCGAAACCTTGAAATAACAATTTTTAATCTTTTCAAATCCAAACAATCCACTTGGCGAAATCAATTGATTCATCTCCAATATTAAAAATCTTCTTAACGACAAATCATTATTTTTTAATTTTTTACCCAATAAAGTTTCTAATGACTTATTAAACCCTTCATTATTAAACCCTTCAATGTTCTCATCATAAGCCTCTTTCAATACATCTTGAATTAAAACTCTTTGAATTTCTTCCTCAACATTAACGTTTTTATTTTTATGCTTTTTACCACTATTTAACAATCCTCTCGTTTCACTATCAGAATTCTCTGATGATGAACTTGAGGATGTCTTATCAAAATATTCCTTTTTATCTTTAAATAGCTTGGCCAATTGATGAACTGATGTAATACCTACAATACCAACTAGATATGATTGGTATGAATCACCATAAATGAAAATATGGTCAATTAAGTTAGCACAATAGGTCGAATAAGAATTTTCCACCTTTTCAACAGCAATATATTCACCTTGACTTAATTTAAAGAAATTTTTGACTCTATCAATGATAATAATTTTATTTCCATGTTTTTCGTCGATTTTGGCAATATCACCAGTTTTAAACCATTTTTTTCCTGGAACTAGTTCATCTTCTTCAAAGGACTCGGCAGTCTTTTTGTCATCTTTATAATAGTGATTTGAGATTTGAGGACCAGAGACTAAAATTTCACCAGATTTATTCAAGTCCCAAGTGTAATTTAGTTCAGGGACATCTTTTAATTTCAATTCAGCGGTAACACCAACTGGACCACAGTTATCGGGCTTGATATCTAAAGAGTCACTAATAGCAATAGCAGCAAAAGTTTCAGTTGAACCATAACCAATGAAAAATCTACAAGCTAAAGCTGCTCTGAGATATTTAATTGATTTTTCATTCAATGGAGCAGAACCACTAATTAAAAAATTTAAATCTTTAAAACCAATTTTAGATTTGATTTTATTGATGAAAAATTTATTAAGTAATTGATTCAACCAAGCGGATTCGGAAACATGATAATTGAATAACAATCTTTGTTTAAAGCCGACAATGTATCTAATTAAATAACCTTTAAAGCCAGGAATTGATTTTAAATTTTGTTTCAAACCCGATTCAATTCTATTATATAATCTTGGAACGGCACATAAATGAGTTGAATTGCCCATGATTTTAATATCGTCAATATAAGTTTGAACTTTTCCTGGGATATGAGGAAAAGCTAAAGCAGCACCCGCTGAAATTTCATAAACAACTTTATATCTTTCAAGCACATGAGCTAGAGGCAAGAAACATAGAGAATGTGCATTTTTGGGGACGTCAACATGACAATATAAGAAGGAAACAGCAGTCATAAAATTAGCATGAGTTAATTCAACACCCTTGGGAGTACCAGTTGTACCAGAAGTGAATGAGATAGTAAATAAATCATTTGCATTAGGGGGGACGTTTGGATGAGGATTAGATTCACCAATTGATAGAATTTCATTGAAGGAACATAAAGAGACATTTAAAGATTTGGTTAGTTGAAATAGGTTTTGATCAGTTTCAGGGTCTAAATCATCGATTGAAATCATCAATTTCAAATTGATTTTCAAAGTTTGTTTAATATCTTTGAAATCATCTTTAAATTGGTCATAATTTGATACCAATTCACAAATTTTGAGTATTTTGTCCTTTGTTAGAATAATGATAGGAGATTGAGTTAAAGATAAGATATAAAACGAAGATTTTGGACCTAAAGTGTCATACAAAGTTGTATTTGGAATTGAGTAAGCATGGCACATTAAATCAGTTATAATCCACTCTGGACAATTTGAAGCAAAAATTGATAAGACAAATTTATTACCGTCGTGAGAGTTATCATTTGATAGTAATTCAGGAAACTTTTGCTCAATTATTGACAATATCCCAGAACCCAAATGGTCCCTTTGGTGCTGGACAGTTTCGAAATCGTCATAAGTGTAAAAATCATCAAACTCATTTGTAGATGGATGGAAAATTCTTCTACCTAAAAAGGGACTCTTTGCGGAAGATTTAGCGGTAAATTGAAAAATATCATAGACAGTCGTAAGATCAGGATGCATAGTCGTAATCAAGCCATGCTTAGCAGAAATGTTTCTGAAAACTGGAGAATAACCAGTTTTTTTAGAGTTTTCGACATGATAAGATCTGTTGATTTGTTTTGTTGGAAGAGGAAATGACTGAAGAGCTTCTTCAATTGAGGTGTGCTCAGTGATGATATCAGGATAGCACACAGGATAGATGTTCTCTGAGGAAGCCATGATGATGAGGAAGATTGAATTGGAGCAAAAAAACAAGAGAAGAAAGGTGGTAAAAAAAGGATATATATAGGGTTGTTGGAACTGGAAAATGGCCAGAGAATCAGAAGAATAGTACCCAACAAGTTTAGGTTGAAAGTAAAAACACTAATCAATGGGCAGACGAGAGACAGTTGAGGCTAGTTAGAGATAACTAGAGTGTTGAACAGCGCAAATGTGCTAACAAAAGTGGATGATTATATCTTCTTGAGAATATCCTCTTAGGGAGCTCTGAGAGTCCTCAGCTTCCGCCCAGCAAATCACAAGCCAAAATAACAGTTTGCCACCGGAAGCTGCGCACCACCGCGATGGAACAATAGGGCTACAGCCCAGGGCTCTATATCGCTCCTAGCAGCATGCAGACGCATTACATGCAGGGTGACATCTGTATCCGCAGCACTGGCTCCGGCTGATGTTCCCCAGATTTTGGCAACGCTGGCGACGTTGACGACGTTGGCAATGCTGGTAATGCTAGCAGAGAAACAAGTCGAGCTTCATGTCCTTTCTCACTCTGCTCCAGCGCACCTCATCCGGAGGCCTGTTGGCTTTCTTTCGTCTCCAGATCTCCTTCAACAAGCCAATGAGCTTTTCCACACCAGAGTTGCTGGCAGCTATATAGTCCCCTGGACTGTCAATGCTGTGGATTCGAAGTGCTTTCAACTTGTTCAAAAACCTAAGGTACTTTGTCTGGGCCCAAGCATTGTTGATTTCAGAACCAATGATTAAAACAGCCCATAAATTCCCCATCAAGCAGTTGTTTTTGGAGTAAATACATGCCTCCACCTCATCAAAATAATCCAAACAGTCTTTCACCATCAAATTGATTGACTCTTGATTATGTTCATCACTGTAAAACTCTCTCAAAAAAAAAATGTAAATTGACGTGTAAAAAATATATGACAAAAAAAACAGTAGATTTTTCTTTTCCGATTCAATTATGTAATTGAAGTTTTTATGAGTTAGTTTCTTTTTAAATTTAAACTTATTCTTATAAGTTTTGTTATCATTACATATATTATTGGTATTCCTCTTCCTGCCATCGCCGAATTTGTAGCCTTTAAAACTGTTCAAGTTGTTATTGTAGTTAGCATTATTATTAATTTTTTTAATATTTTTGCTGTCTTTATGCAAAATTAGAAAATAAATCAAATCATATTCATCATATAATTGGGTTTCCATTTCAAAAACTTTTAATCTAACGTTGAAATTTAATAGTTTAATGCTCGTATAATTTAATGAAGTTAAAATTAAATTTTTAAAAATTTTAAATGATTTTTCGGTGATGGAATAATTTAATAAAGGAAAAACATCATTAACATCATTAACATCGCTAAAATTTCCGTGTTTTATTTCAGAACCTTTATCATTATAATTGTTGCATTCACTGTCCATCGACTTATTTAAATTATCAAGTATTTTATCGTTACTATAAGTGATTCTATTATTTAAATAATCATTATACTGTTTATTACTGTCAAGCACATTAGACTGATCACAATAGTTTGAAACAAGACTCTTATTTTTCTTAGCATTGAAAAATTTAGTACTATCATCATTATTAGTAATGAAAAGTGAGGAATCGTCCTTATCATCATTGTCGTTATTATCATCATCATTATTATCATCATTATTATCATCATCATTATTATCATCATCATTATTATCATCATTATTATCATCATTATTATCATCATTATTATCGTCATCAAAAGAATCATAATCCAATAAATCTAAGAATATTTGATGTTCATCATCATCATTTTCATTTTCATTTTCATCGTCGTTATCAATAAATAAATGCTTGTCAATTGATAGTCCAATAAAGATTAGATATCTTAACAAGTTGTCTAAATAACTTAACTGATTAAATTTTTGTGAACCACTTGTATCATTAGTTCTAATAAAATTACCAGAACTGTCATAATTGTCATAGTTGATTAAACTCAATAGTTTTAAACCCAAATTTAAAAGAAATTTCCAATCATAATTCATTGTTGAATTTGTTTCTAAAGTATCAACTAAGGAAACACTTGAATAATCGTTCAAATTATCACCAACGCTTGAATCAAAAGTTTTTATAAATGATTGATTAAGATTCGGAGAAATTAGAATATCAACAATTAAAAAATTGATTAAAGAGAAAAAAATGGTTAATAAATCAATAATTGGAATTGAATTATTGTGGTTTTGATTTTGGTTTTGATTTTGATTATTATTATTATTATTATTATTATTATTATTATTATTATTATTATCGTTATTTGTGGTGATGTTATTATTGATGTAATCTATTATATAGTTGATTGCCAACAATTTGTTATTGTGAGAATTTATCAAATAATCTTGATAATTTTTTTTATTATTTTTATGATAATTAAAAACAGAAAGAAATAAGTAAGAAGATGAAGACAAGGAGTTGTAAAGTAGAATTTTATTACTGGGATTATTATTATTATTATTATTATTAATTGATAATAAATTTTTAAGAATTAATTTATATAAATTAACATTAGCTGATATTGGATTGAAGTAAGCAGATATATTGTCATAATAATAGTCAACTAGCTTTTCAATATGAATATTACTTTTTTTTTTAGTAGAGATATTGTTTTGATCAGTTACAGAGGAATAATTGATATAAAAATCATTAGTATCAATATTGTTAATATTGTTAATATTGTTAATTTTGTTAATAGTACCAATTGTATTATTATGGTTATGGTTATGTTTATGATTATTATTATTATTATTATTATTATTATTATTATTGTTATTGTTATTGTTATTTAAAAGGAAAACGGAAAAGGAAGAATTGGTAAATTGATTATTATGATTTAAATTTTTCAAATCATTTTTATTAAGATTGTCAATTTTGAGTAAAATATTATCAATTCTTTTATCTTCGAGTATCAAATTTGAATTGTTATACAATTTGAATCTTCTTAGGTTATCGCTATTTTTATGATTCCAGCACAATCGAATTGTATAACCCTCACATTTCAAGCCATGGTTTAAGCAAATCTTACAAAAGGGTTTGTTTTCGTCGCATTTAATACCTCTTTCTCTACAAGTCCAGCAACCAGAAAATGTTTTTGTTTTCTTTTTCTTGAATACAGGCCGATTGTTAAGATTTTTAGATATAAAGAGAGATGATGGATAACAGGCGTCAGAGGAGAATGAAGCACAGGCAGGAGAAGCAGGAACAAAAGGCGAGTTGGAATTGGAATTGGAATTTGAGGACGAGCTTGATTGAGAGTTTGATCGAGAAGTGGATCGCAAGGTTGGTCGAGAAGTAGATCGAGAGGACAGTGTCTGTGTGGGCTTTATTACTTTACTGTGATGGTCTTGATTAGAGAAAATAAAGATATCTTTTTTTTGGCCAGACATCCTCTGAATCTTCCAAAGGTTGCAGTGGGACGATAAATCGAGCCAAGTTAACGAATAATTCAAATGGGACGAAAGTTTAATGCAAAACAAAAGCAATATAGCAAAGCATTCTGCAACCAACAGAGAGAAAAACAATAAGCTGCCCTTTATTCACCTCTCCAGCATCAACAGCATTCAGCCTACCAGATGTTCAGCTCCATCAGTTCTATCAGCTCTCATCCACAAGGCGATGGGCCTTATCGCGCTCTCCTCCCTCCGCCTAGGTTCGCCTGTTCGGGCACGTCCTTCCAGGCACGTGCACAGTTGGATAGGAATCTATTCCGACCACGCACCGGCTACTTCGGCGCCGCGTTTCGATACAAACACGCAGTGCTCCGAACACGACCTTACGGTACTCTGGCAGTAAGCACGAGATGCAGCCTTCGGTCACGATGAAAACAGGCTGCATTGGCAAAAGCCCTAGGGTTTGTTGAGAGCGGGTAATATCCAGAGATGGTGCTACACAAAACCTTGCTTTAAAAAAATTACACTTTCTTTCATTTTGCACCTAAGGTGTCTTTTCCATATTCTTTGTATCAGCTATTGAAATGTAAGTGAAAGGATCGATCGTAACACAAATAACCCAAGGAATTACAGTCTACAATGATGATATGAGTCTGAAGACTCTATATTTAATATAAACCCAGCTCTTTGAAATTTTGTTATATGAAACGAATCTATGTTTATCTGATTGTTTTAAAAATTAATTCCTGCTTTTATTTCATCAAGTCCTATTTTTTGTACATTGGTTTTTGATTTTACTAACATTAAGCATTTATCTCTTTATATCATTAGATTTAGTAGTTTTATATTTCTTCCAAACTAGAATAAACATTACATATCCCTTATAACAATTTCAACGGAACAACAGAATGCACCCAAATAAATTGTAGGATCTAGATTTCTAGGTTTTTTTTATTCTTTTTCAGTATTCAAAAATCGATCATCGATCAACCAAATAAAATTTATCTTTATTTTAATTTCATCTTCAAATGACTCGTAGATCCACACTGGTGATGAATAGATAACTGGTGTTGTAAGAAACTATCTGCTTTGATCCATTTCACAAGAGAAAGCATTCGAATTACTTGATCCAGTCCAATGCTTTAATGTATTTTCCTATAAAACCATTCCAACAATACCATTTATTCCCTCTTACAACTGCCAACAGTTTTCAATACTTTGAATACTTTGAATATTTTCAATAGTTTTTAAGTTCTTCCTCACCACAGATCCTGAGCTGGATTCAGACCTCTGGGGTCTGGTGTTCACCCAGACCCCAACCCCAAAGCCTTCCCAAAAAGCTACCATCAAATTTACTTTTCTAGTAAGAATATACCTGGAGCTGATATTTGATATTCTTTCTAATATTCTTTGTAATATTCTTTTCAATATTCTTGGAAGATCACCAATGGGGAACGAATTAGACAACCAGGAAGATTTCTTGAAAGAATTTCTTATTCCTTCAGCTCAATTGCCATGGCAATTACTTGATCTCACTCAAACTGACCTCAAAGATTCAAACAAAAACTCTCAACTATTCAACTCTCTTTTAACTCTCCCAAAATCTATTTCGAAAACCACTCTAACTTTTAAAAGAAAAGGATTTGAATGCACCATCTCCGATTCTGCTGAAGTGTTAGATTTATCTACTTTAAATAATAACGATGCCACTACTTCTGCATCGCTATCTAGAAATTATACTTCCAAAAACGATTCAGTTTTAGGTCAATCAAGTTTTTTACCTTTTAAACCTGGTGGAATTAATACTGAATCAATAAAAAATAATACTTCATCAATGCATAGAGACGAATTTAACTTGTTTGATATCCCCCAAGGCTTGTCTAGAGGTTTATTTATAAAAAATACTTCAACCTCAAAGGACTACTTGAATTTTCAAAAATTCGAAGATTCAAATGATACATTTGAAGATTCAGACAATAAACTTGATCAAATTAACCAAATTAACCAAATCGATGAAAATATAAACCAACCCGACTCTCAATCCAATAATGATTCTAAAAACAACGTCTCTAAAAATTCCATCTTTAAAAATGATACTCTAAATGAAATCGATGAATTATTGCCCTTTAAAGTATCCTTCAATTCCAACAACAATGATTCTAATAAACCAAAATCAAAACATAGAAAATATGCCCACGTAATTGATATTAACCATAAAATTGATAACTTTGAAGAACTTGTCCCAGACATGGCTAGAACTTGGCCCTTCACTCTTGATGTTTTCCAAAAAGAAGCCATTTACCATTTAGAACAAAATGATTCAGTCTTTGTTGCTGCTCATACCTCTGCTGGAAAAACTGTTGTTGCTGAATACGCAATTGCTATGGCTCATAGAAACATGACAAAGACAATTTATACTTCTCCCATTAAAGCACTCTCAAATCAAAAATTCAGAGATTTTAAGGAAACCTTTCCAGACATTGAAATCGGCTTGATTACAGGTGATGTCCAAATTAACCCTCATGCTGATTGTTTAATTATGACTACTGAAGTTTTAAGAAGTATGTTATATAGAGGTGCTGATTTGATTAGAGATGTTGAATTTGTCATATTCGATGAAGTTCATTATGTCAATGACATTGATCGTGGTGTTGTTTGGGAGGAAGTCATTATTATGCTTCCTGATCATGTCAAGTTTATTTTATTATCTGCCACTGTTCCTAACACTTTGGAATTTGCAGAATGGATTGGTCGAACTAAACAAAAAGATATTTACGTTATTTCAACAACAAAACGTCCAATTCCTTTAGAAATATCAATCTGGGCAAAAAATAAGCTTTTTACAATAATAGATGCTGAACGAAATTTTTTGGATCTAAATTTTAAAAAACATAAGGAGGAATTTGAAAAACCCTCTCGCCAATTTCTTACAAATAATAGAGGCAGAAAAAATACTAATGCAAATCAAAGAGGTTCTTTAGCTGGAAACAGAGGTTCTTTAGACAGAAACAGAGGTTCTTCTGGTGGAAATAGAGGTAGAATGGTCAAACAAACACAATCTTTCAAATCATCTTATGATGGTCCAAATAAAAGCACTTGGCCAAAGTTAGTTCAATATCTAAAATCTAATGGCTTGTTACCAGGTGTTATTTTTGTATTTAGTAAAAAAAGATGTGAAGAATATGCTGATTTTCTAACTGGCGTTGATTTTTGTACTGCAAAAGAAAAATCACAGATAAGAATATTTATTGATAGAGCCGTTTCTAGATTGAAAAAAGATGATAAAGATTTACCTCAAATTCTAAAAGTAAGAGAAATGCTAAGCAGAGGAATCGGTGTTCATCATGGTGGTTTATTGCCAATTGTAAAGGAAATAATTGAAATTTTATTCTCAAAAACATTAGTTAAGGTTTTGTTTGCTACAGAGACGTTTGCAATGGGTTTAAATTTGCCCACCAGAACAGTTGTTTTTGACAAATTAAGAAAGCATGATGGAAAAAATTTTAGGAATCTTTTGCCTGGTGAATTTACTCAGATGTCTGGAAGAGCTGGTCGAAGAGGATTGGATCCAATTGGAACAGTAATAGTAATGGCATACAACAATCCATTGGAATCTTTATCATTTAAAGAAGTCACACTAGGTCTTGCAACAAAATTGACTTCTCAATTCCGTTTGACCTATATTATGATTTTAAATTTATTGAGGATTGAAGCATTAAAAGTAGAAGAAATGATCAAACATTCATTTAGTGAAAATCTAAACCGTTCTTTGTTGCCTGAACATGAAAAATTGACAGAAAATTTGCAAAATAAATTGAAAGATTTAGAATTTGAGTTATCCAAAGAAAACTTTGAATTTTCTTCCTTCACAGAAAAAGACATTGAAGAACTTTGTTTATTATTTAAAAGATACAATCAGATTCAAGTTGAGATTATTTCTGAGGCATTTAAAGGAAATTTAACAAAGCATTTTAAAACAGGGAAACTTTTGGTTTTCATAGACAATAATGGCTATACAAGACCTGGCTTAATTTTGAAAATTGATCTTCATTTACAAAAATTTATTATTCTATCCCCCACTATAAATATTAAGGAAGCAGAGAAACTGAAAGATGTTCCATTTAGCAATATACCTTATATAACATCAATTAGTGGTTTTACCAAACTATTGTTTCCAACTTGGCATTTTGAAAAAGGACTTGAACAAACTGAAATTTCATTTGGCCAAATTAACATAATTTTTGATGATTCACTAGATATTTCATTTCAAAAATTACTTAATAATGACTCTTCCGAAACAGAAAAATTTAGGTCTCAGTTTAATAAATTATTAAGGTTTTCACATTCATGGAAAGATCTAGTGTGGAACAAAACCACTTTAGAATTGAATGATTTGATGAAGCAACAGTTCGATGTATCAAAGCAAATCGCTAATAATCAAAATTTTTCTAATGCAATTCAATCTGAATATTTCCTAAGAAAGTATAAGATTATTAATAAAAAAATCGAGACAAATGAAGAGATCCAAAGATTGCAGTATTTAGTTTCAGACCAAAATTTAAAGTTGTTGCCTGATTACCAACAAAGATTGTTGGTGTTAAAAAAATTGGAATTTGTAGATAAAAATTTAAATGTTTTATTAAAAGGAAGGATTGCTTGCGAGATTAGCTCAGGATGGGAGCTATTTATTACCGAGTTGATTGTAGACAATTTTCTTGGTGAGTTTGAGCCTGAAGAGATTGTTGCCTTGTTGACATGTTTTGTATATGAGGGTCGTACCAAAGATGAGGAAGAACCATTAATTACTGCCAGATTAGAAAAAGGTAAACAAAAGATAAAGAAGATATCCGAGGTTATCCTAGCAACTTATCAACAATTTCAAGTTCCCTTGACTAGAGACGAAGAAGAATTTATGGATTCTAAGAGATTCGCGTTATGCAATGTTGTTTATGAATGGGCAAGAGGCATGAGTTTTAAGAAGATAATGGAAATTAGTCCTGAGGCAGAAGGTACAATTGTGCGTGTGATAACAAGATTGGATGAGGTCTGTAGAGAAGTTAAAAATGCTGCTCTAATTGTTGGGGATTCTAGGTTGCACTCCAGTATGACTGATGCTCAAGATAAAATCAAAAGGGATATTGTTTTTTGCGCCAGTTTATACTTATAGCTGGTTTATTTTGATTACGATTGTTATCATGTTTACCAAATATAGTAAAATATTTATTTGAACTCAGTTCACTGATTTTGGCGATTTTTTGCAGCATGCCATTTTCTGAGAAGCATAGAAATAAACCAAAGGGAAATTTACTGCAAACTTAAAATTATTCATAAAAAAATTAGGATAGTTTGAAGAAAACAATTAAACAATATCAATTTATATGTAAACAAAATAAAACTTATGAATATTTAAAAATGTAAAAGACTTAAAACAAGATAAAGTAAAATAAAGTAAGGTAAGATAAAATAAAATAAGATAAAATAAAATAAAATAAAATGAAATAAAATAAAACATCATTACTTGACAACCACTAAGAGATAGGATAGCCTGTAGCAAAATAATCAGATTTTGGAGAGGTTTGAGAATGGTTACCATTACTAACACCATTACTGGTAATATTTTCAGCGTTATTATCAGTATCATCTGTATTATTATCACTGTGGTTATCCGTAACAATATCACTAATATCATCAGTATTTTCGTCAGTATAACTAGCAATATTATTAATAGTATTAATACTAGAATTATTTCCGTTAGATTCAACAGATTCTTCTATACCACTGAAACTCCAATTGCTTTCTGCAGTCATATTGGTGAATATACGTGTTTTCAGAGAAGAGTTACCACCATTCCTAAATGTAGACAGCGAACCCAGGGTTTCAATCCTTTTTTCAAGAGCTTCAAACCTAGCTTTTAATTCAATCAAATTGGAAGACAACTTGGAAACAACTTCAGAATTCTCAAGCAAATCTTTGTTCAACAACTCATTATTGTGCATGCAAGAAAAAAGTCTTCCTTTCAAATACTTAATTTCTTCATCTCTTACAGTTAACGAATATTTCATCTCATTAAGCTGCTCAACTTTTTGATTCAAAAGAATAGTAGTATTTTCAAAATTGGACAACTTCTTTTTGTATTGAGAAATCTTGGTTCTGCTCAAATTCTTGATATGATTCAATTCCGAAATCTGGCGTTGCAAATCTGCTATAGCCATCTTGTACTCAGAAGCGTTAGTAATGTCAACCTTAGTGCTAGTCAATTCAGTGATCTTCTTGTTCAATGAGGCAATCTTGTTTTCGTAGTTGATGGTGATTTTCTGGATCTCACTCTTGTCTTTGATACTGACGTTCTTGGTCAAGATGTCAATCTTCTTGGTCAATTCGGTGATTCTAGATTCATAAGTGCTGATTGTCTTATTGTACTCGGAAGTCTTAGTAATGTCAACCTTAGTGCTGGTCAATTCAGTGATCTTCTTGTTCAAT